TTGAAGCACGCGGGAGGATCCGTTGAGATTTTGCGCTTCAGAACTGACCATCGCATTGGTACAGAACGAACCATGTTCGACAACTACCCCTTTCGGTTTTCCTGTGGACCCGGAAGTGAAGGCAACATACGCTGCGTTACCTGGCTTAGCCTGGACCTGAGACGGAGAGACTTTGCCACGACATAGGGCTCCGTTCTCAATATCACTGGGTACTGAGATGACGTTGTCGGCGAGCTGCAACCCCACATTCTTGTGAAGCTCAGAGGTTAGGAGAACTTGAGCGCTGACATCTTGGCAAATGCTTTGCAGACGCTCCAGAGGATGGGACGGTTCCAGCAAAACAAAAGCTGCTCCGGCCTTGAGAACTCCGAGCATGGCCACAATAGTCCATTTGCTCTTCTCGAAAAGCAAAGGAACAATTGCCTCCGGTCCCGCACCTTGTCGGCGCAAAAGTTTCATAACCTTGGCTGATTCCTGACTCAAGGAGGCGTAATTCATTGCACCGTCCCAGGCATTTACAGCCTCTGCATCTGGACTTTCGATGCATTTGTCCTGGATAATGTCGTGGATACATTGGGCAAACGGCTCTTCGAGGATGTGTTTGTTCCAGTCACGGATCTGACGATAATGATTGTCAGGAGTCAGAGTGAAGCTCTGCAGCAGCTCTTGCGGACGCTCCAAGGTAGATTGAAGGATATGCTGCAACACGGTGCTCAAATATCGGATTGAAGATCTGTCAACGAGGCCCGCCTTACCATACAAGGAGATGCACGGCCATTCTTGCTGTGTTGCCGCCAGCAAGAGTTGAATGCTATGATTAGACTACAACATGTCAGACTGGGTCTTCGAGGTGCGAGTTCTGTTGAGGCTGGTAGCACTTACAGAGCTTTTCCAATCATTCAGCCAGCCCGAGTGTAAGTCAGTCGCGACGCATGTGTTGATCCGGTCCCTGCAATTCCATTCATGGGTTCGACATTTCTTCCGGCGTATGAGGGAGACAGCGTCTGACAAGTGCCCGGCAGAATTTACATAAGCTTCATATTCTTCGACCGATATGTCATCGCAAGTCTGCTTGCCCGTAGAACCAGACAAGGCCCCGAAGCGAAGTGTATCAGAGTCTATATATTTGGCTAGCACAATGGCCCACGAATGCATGAGGCTCTGAAGCAACGAGCCGTCAGAAATTGTGACCTCCCATTCAAACTTATCCCAAAACACGATTGCCTCATCGGGTAATAAACTAGTAGAAGAGGCGATGCACGGAAAGAGGCACGAATCAATGTCAGGGGAACTCATCTTGCGTGCGCACCTCCTCTGCTACCTTGCGGCTTGCCTTTCCGGCGACAAAGATTTGGAGATTTAAAGTATTTGCTATTGAGCTCATGCCCTCAGTAGAGGAAAGAAACTCTGTGGCCTAAGTTGATCATCATCCATAGAATGCAAAAGCCCCTTAAGATCACACAAGGCGCGCCCAGGCCCGGCATGATTCCATAGTGTCGTATGGCGCAGCTGAAGCCAGGTGGAGGAAGCTATGACAACACCATACTTCATCACTTTGCCTTCTACCGCCGCCGCATTTCCGCATTGGGTTTATGTGACATGCTGTGATTTGCACCTAGATGACAGCTCATGCCTTGGATGTCACAGAAGGCTGATGAGTTTGTGCAGCTGAATGCTGCACATGGGGCATATTGTCGATCACCTCTCCAATTTCTCCATCATCGTAACCATATCGAGATGAAAGACGTAGATCTTTACTCGATACGGAAATCGCAATGTAATACACCATTGATACCACCTGTCCCACATTATGCATGTTTCTGTATTTTTCAAACGAGCTGATTGTCTTACCTTGATCTCATTACACTGAAGGATTCTTTTTCCTTTCTCATGCAAAGGGTGGATTCGTGATAGTCATAAAGGTGACACCGCCGATCTGGGGGTGCAAGAGCGCCCACATCAATTCGCTCGACCACAAGTTTTTGACATCATTTGCTTCACATTACGAGATAGCAACCATGACATTCGAGAGCATGGCGCAAAATGACTTGAACAAATTGACAGTGATCATTGTCGGTCTCGGGATTGCAGGGCTGAGTGTTGCTATTGAATGTCATGGCAAGGGACATAACGTTATGGTTTTTGAAAAGTATGAGGAGCTGAAACAGATGGGTTAGTAGCTGAGTCAACGATGTGACCCGAGGCTAATCGCTTGTTCTTCAACTCAACCACTAATAACATTTAACAGAAGGAGACGGAATCAGCATTGGCTCCAACGGAGCTCGAGTGACTGCCAAATGGGGAGATGGTGCCTTCCACAAACTAATCCGCCCGTTGGAGTTCCAAACCAACAGAGCCAAAGTGTTTGATTACACTGGCTATTGTTATGGCACGTTCGAGCTCCATGGATACAATGAGGGCCACGGTTATACAGTCAACCGTGGAGCACTAGTATACGCCATGCACCAGTACGCCCAGAGCATTGGTATTCCCATCGCCTTGGGCTCTGAAGTCACCAAGTACTGGGAGACAGAAGACGAGGCTGGAATTGAAGTAGATGGGAGACGAATTTCGGCCGACTGTGTCGTCTGTGCAGAAGGAATCCACAGCCACGGTCGACTGAGCATCACCGGCCAGCAGATGAACCTGCAGGAGACCGACTACGCGGCTTCTCGAGGGTACCTGGATGCTCAGGTAGCGGCTCGCAATCCGAGTCTGAGTTGGATTCTCAGTGAGGAAGAATCGAGATCCGAGGACTGCATCTATGGATGGCTTGGACCCGGAGTCCACTTCGGAATCACGACCAAGAAGAAGGACAATGAACTCTTCTGGTACTGCTCGCATAAGGTAGGCGTCTCATCTGATTACAACCAGTCTCGGGAACCCCATTGACATGATGCTGCATCTACAGGCCGCCAGTACTGCGCCCCAGAACGACGATGAAACAATGAACCAGATTCTGCAGTGCATGAATGGTTGGGAAGTACGAGACCAGCTCGAGGCGGTAATCAAAGGGGTGATGAGTGGCCGGTTCATCTCGGAGAAGCTAGCCATTCGCACTCCTTTGACTACCTGGTTGTCTCCCAGGCGCCGGATGATCGTGGTCGGTGATGCGGCGCACGCGGCGCTCCCGTCCAGCGGACAGGGAGGTACCCAGGCTATTGAAGACGCCGCCACACTTGCGATCGCCCTTGACTTGGCGGGGAAAAAGAATGTACCGTTGGCGCTGTCAGTAACGGAGAAGATTCGATACCAGCGTGCTCAGATCGTCCAGCAAGGTGGCCTGGCGGTGTTGCAATTTGTGATGAATCATGTCGACTTCGACGCGTTGCGGCAGGACCCGACGATGGTGAAGCCACCGCACCCTGCGTGGATTCTGGACCACGACTGCCAGGACTACGCTTTGAAGGAGTTCTCAAAAGTGGCAGAAGCGGTGCGAAATGGTCAGGAATATGTGCCTTGCAACATTCCTAGTGATGGGCAATATCGGATGGAGTATGATAGTAAATAGGAAGTGAAAGCGGGGAAAGGAGGAAGAGAGAGCCGGAAGGCGGAGCGGAGAGCACACCCCATGGTATTATACATGCTTCTGCTACCGTACTGTACTGCCCATACAGCACTACCGGTGGGCATAGCCCTGCCGCTGAATACCTCAACATATACAGTACGGATCGCTCTGACCAGCATTTAATTCGAAGTATCATAGACGCAATTTGGAAGAATGTTCTTTGTATTCATCAAGATCTTTCCTACCAGAAGAGCTCCCGCGTGTCGGCATGGCTTCCAAATGCTCAAAGTAATCGACTAAGGTACATGGTCAGGCGAGGTTAATTACACCTATGACAATCATAGACTCAATCACAATGATGCAAACCACCTATCCTACCCGAATCTTCACAACATACTATAATACGACCATCGGTTCGCGTGAGGCTTCCTAAGAGCTAACAGCTTCTATAGCCCAAAATGAAGAGCTGCTCATCCTTACAACACCTATAGGTCTTTTGAGAAAATCACCTCATAACCTTTCATGCAAGCAATCTCAACCAGGTCCTTTACAGATATTCACGTTTATCACAGCAAGAACAATAGACAATCAAGAAATGACAACCTCCTGTAAGCATTTTATCATATCGCAAACAACATATACAACACTCAAAGAACAAAAAACCCAAACCCCCGCTCTACCACCCCGACGGCCACTGGCACACCGATATAAAACCCCACCAAACCCACCCCGACCAACACTACCACCATAACAAACAAACTTACCTAAACCTTCCCAATAACACTTCAATCCCAACCCCAACCCTAGACCTAACCAAGCACCCACAAGCAAAAAGAAAAATGGTAAGACTCCCCCAACCTTCCCGGGTAATCATCCCCCGGCGCCACCACCCGCACGAGCAGTACGTGTGGCTCATCGACGCCGAGGCCGGCCGCAACGACCCGACCTTCACCCCGAACTGGAACATGTACAGGGACGAGCTGACGCGACAGTTCCGGCGCCTGCGCGAGAGCGACCCGCGCCTCAAGCCGCTCATCGGCGAGGTGCACGTCGGGCGCCGCGGCAAGATCTACAAGGAGCTGCTGCCCTCAGGCGAGGCGCTGTGCGTGCAGTGGTTTCTGCTCGGGGAGGCGAGCGCGGATCGGGAGCATGCGCGCACCATGCAGCTGGTCGAGGAGCTTTGGGGGCCGGACGAGGCGGACGACGCGGGCGCCGGTGCGGAGGCGGAGACGGTGGTGGAGCCGTTGGATGTGCAGAGGTTGAGGATTTCTGAGTAGAGTTGTGAGTTACTTGGTATGAGAGGGGGGTTTGTAGTTCTCTTCTCACTGTTGGAGTCAGTTTGAAACAAATACATTATGTTGAAGAATGCAAGAAAGAGTATGTGATTGATTTACTGGAAGGTCCGTGGATTACAGGTTAAGTTGATTTGGAAAGGCTATCGATCGATTGAATATGTTGACACCATCCGACTGACGAAACAGCTTTCTAGAGTTTAAGCCTGTTCCTCCTCTTCGACCGTTATCTTCCAAGGATTATCCGTGGAAGAATGGTAATAAGTACTCAGATACACCCCAGTCTTCTCCGTGTAGGCAAACGAAACCCACGAGGTAAACCGATCAGTTGTAGTGAGATCAATGCCCGGACTTGGGATTAAACCAACAGTTAGTTGAGACACTCGAGGCAAGCATTGGAAACACTTACTAGTACGACTTGACCTTCTCCACATACCCCTTACCATGGCGCTCCAGCCCAATGTGACACAAAAAGTCGGCCACCGCCGTGATCACCTTCCAGTCGCTCTCCCCATGCACGGGGAAGTACAACTTGGTCAGCGGGGTGGGGTCGCCCGCGCGCATCTCGTAGTTCCAGAGCAACGGAGTGGCCTTGGAGGTGCTCTGCTGGTCATCGAAGGCTACCACGATATCCCGCTCGCCGGCCGCCAGCTGCATCCGATCCCACAGCTGCCGCAGGTATTCCAGCCCGCGGGCCACCGTCGAGGACTGGACGCGGTCGCCCAGGGTCCAGACTTCGGCCAGCTTCTCCCACGTCACGCTGTTGGAGCCGGTGTAGAGCTTCAGGCGCGAGCGGGCCGGGTCGACAAAGTCCCAGGAGAAAAATGACCGGTCGTCGTAGCCAACCTCCCGCAGGTAGGCGTCCACCGTAGCGAACGCCGGGGAGCAGTCGATGAGAGGGGTCAGGTTGGCGATCGAGGTGGCCATCAGCTGGGCCATGGACTGGCCGGTGACTTTGCACTTCAAGGCGGGGAAGCTGTAGCCTTTCACCGCGACCTTGCCCTCCCTCGTCAGGTCGAAGCCGAACGCGGTCTGTGAGCGGATGTAGCCCGCCTCAAGGTCGACGCCCTGCAAAGCTTCCCGCTCAGCCTGGCTCACCGTGTGGTCCTGGATGACTTGGTGCCAGATCTGTTCGTCATAGCCCGGGATCCGCAGTGGGGCGAGCGAGGACAGGAGCTCTGAAGCGGGGAGGCAATTGAAAGGGTCTGTGGGAGTGCCGGAGAGGGCGTTGAGCGGCTCGAATCCAATACGCACCACCAGTGGCTTCTCCTGTTGCTGATAGTTGATGCTCAACTCGAGGGGAAGGCCACTGCGCGTGATGGAGCTGCGGAAGGATTGCGGATAAGGGCCCAGAAGAGGGAGCAGAGCCTGGGCATAGAATTGGAGGTATTGGAGTTGCTCGTCGCGGGTGTAGCTGGCCGACGACAGCACTCTCGCCAGCATCACCCCGGTCTTCTCCCACCAGAGCCTTTCCTCATCGCTCCTCAAATTCAGCTCCTTGGACATGATCTCGAACGGACTCTGTTGGGGAGACTCTTCGAGGACAGTCATTTTGCGTAGTGTAACAGGGAATATGATTTGCAACAAGTTTTTGGGTCTGTCAGCCTGTATGTCCTTGTTCGTTTCTGCTGTGAGCCACAACTACTTATCCTTTCATCAGACGTAATGGTAACAGATAGGCGTGTGTATTAGAGAATTGAAAATTACACACTCGATGAGATTGGGTTGAATCGATCGTTCTCGATCGCTGTCGATCACCCGGGCTATTGCCATCATGCAGCGGAGACGGAGTTATTTGTGTACCGTAGGCTGCCTCCATCCGTGGAGATCATATAAACATCCTAAACAAACAAGTTTGGTGGTGGCCAGGGCCACATGATGATCCCAGGTTCCCCGCATTATCTGCAGCCAAACTCAATAGTCTCCTTGGAAAGATATGACAAGATGCACAGGAGAACGTGATGTGTCATCTGCATTGAGACAATCGGAAATGATCATCAGTGGAGGCTGAGGCTGGCTGAGGAGATCGAGGACTTCAGCATAATTATCTGAGCCCAAGTAAGCACCCACGATGATTTATCATGGAATATCGAGTCTTTCGACAACTGCGGAGTCACTGTGCGTCATGCAAGAGCAACAGCAACAGTAGCTGTAGCACAAGGAATCAAGTTGGTCTATCACAATGACAGCTCTGGCAAATATTGGTGGACGACTTTCCTCCTACATCACCGCTAAATTCCAGAGACAGGTGACTTCATGCAGTGCACTCGCAAATCCGCAAAGGCAAAGTCGCCCGCCCACCTCTGTCCTCCCTCTCACCTTCCTCTTCATCTCAAAATTGTCAGCTGCGCTGGGTGATTCTCACCACCCAGCTCGAGACCACCCACAATCTCACAATGGCCCTGTCAATCTTTCTTGCTGCGTTGACCCCAACGGGTCTGGCTCTCGTCTTCCTCATCACCATCTATCTCATCCTATCCTACTACCATCTGACCCCAACCGGCAAAAAGTCCCAATTGCCCCTCCCTCCAGGCCCCCGAGGGCTCCCAATAATTGGAAACCTTCACCAAGCTCCCCGCCAAAAGGCATGGGAAGTCTACAAACAATGGTCCGACCAATATGGTCCGATCATGACAGTCAACAACGGGGGCAACATCACCATCGTCGTCTCCTCGCACCACATCGTCGAGACCTTCCTGGCAAAACACAATGCCCTCTTCAGCAGCCGCCCGCAGCTGCTCGTGCTCGAGCGCGCGCTGTACGGCTTCACCACGCCGGCCCTTCCCTACGGGGAGAAGTGGCTGACGCACCGCGCCCTCCGCGGCGCCGTGCTCAAGCCCACCATGGCGGTGAAGTACCGGGGCATCAACGACCTGGAGTCTAAGCAGCTCCTGCATGAGCTGCTGACCAAGGGAGACCGTTTTACGGAATGCGTGCGCCGGCAGGCCGCGAGTCTGTTCCTGGGCATCGCCTACGGGCACCGCTTTCCCGAGGAGACGGCCGAGATCCTGGATATCGACCGCGCGGTGGCCCAACTGGGCGGGATCTCCGAGTCGATGTTTGCGGGCACCGCCATGCTGCGCGAGTTCTTCCCCATCTTGAAGTACCTCCCGGGGAATGACAAGTTTCTCAAGCAGCTGGACGATGTTGGGGAGCGGCTGGCGAATATCTATGTGAAGCGGTTTCGGGATGGGCTTAGCACGCCGGCGTGGAACTGGGCCAAGGAGTACGTGTCACGGCCCGAGGCGAAGGGGATGAGCGAGCTGGAGCTTTCGTTCTGCATCGGCTCGACCTACCAGGCTTCGCTGACCCCGTACGAGATCCTTCGCATCATCGTCCTGGCGGCCATCTTTCATCCCGAAGAGATGCGCCGCCTGCAACGGGAGATTGATGCGGTAGCTGGTCCCGACCGGCTGCCGGACTGGGAGCACAGAGACCGCATTCCCTGGGTGATGGCGTTCGTCTACGAGGCGCTGCGATGGCACGCCTTCTCGCCGCTGGGAGCGCCCCGCGCCATCAGCAGTGATATTGAGTACAACGGCTACTTGCTGCCCAAGGGGGCGACGCTGGTGCTGAATCAGTGGGCTATGGACCACGACGAGAATGTCTATGATGATCCTTTCACGTTCCGTCCGCAGCGCTGGATTGACAACCCCAATCTGCCCCATGTCATTTTCGGCTTTGGGCTGCGCGGATGTCCCGGCCAACATCTGGCCCGCGAGCACTTGTTCATCAACACTGCGCGCCTCTTCTGGGCCTACGACTTCGGCCATGCGTATGAAAATGGCAAAAAGGTGGAGTTGGATTTGGACGAGCTGATGCAGCCCCGTGGCGGGGGATCGGCCTTCAATCAGGTGCCTTCTTTCCCGGCGTCGGTGGTCATCCGAAGTGAGAAGCGGAAGGAAATTGTCGAGAAGGCGTGGGATGCGGTGGAGAAGGATGAGCAGAAGATCTTAGCTGAGGTAATGCCGTTGAAGGCATGAATTCATCCTAGTTCATTTCCCATATGTAATACATACCATGCATTTTCATCATCACACTGCGGCCTCGCTGACTAGGCTGCCCACCGCTGGTAGTGACTCTTCCAATATTAGTCTAACGTAGCTTGAATCCATCACATCGCCACTTCTCTGATGCATGTCCAGGCAATAGTTCCGTGCCACATTGTAGATTCCGGCATGTCCGGTCGGATGTGACCGAAAGTGAGGCTTCTGGGCCAGACAGGCATGACGCACAGTATGCAGCAACATGCAGTGTGACTATTGAACTATTGACCGCATTCATGGTCATGCGTTCAATATCACAAGTTTGCCTCGCACAGAGAAGAGACATGTCTCCACCGATTGGCAATATCTTTGCTGCCTTGGTTTCGATTGAGCAGGCAGCATGCTACTTCCTAGAGGGGCTTTGATGAGATACATCCCATCATTGATTGTCGGAAGATCCCCTTCATCCGGTTGCTGTATCTGTTCAGAGTATGTGATGAAGACACCGAGCCATTTGCGTGGCGATCACGATCACTCTCCACGGCAGCCATAGAGTCATAGTTGAGTACAAAAGGGCACAGCACATCCTCACCCACCACCATTAATACATGCTATTACTTCAAAAACAGCTAAGAAATCACTCCCAGCCCCCTCACCTCTGCCTCGAGCAACCCTTCCACAGCAACCATGTCATCCCCCGAAACCCCCAACAAACCCCCAATCCGACGCTTCCCCGCGACCACCCCACCGCAAACCCTCTGGCAAGCGGTCTGCGATGACGGCGCCGCCATAATCGAAGGCTTTCTTCCCGCCCACACGATCGAGAAATTTGACCAAGAGCTCTCGCACCGCTCCGCCACGACGACGGGAGGGCAAATGAACCAAGAATTCTACCAAATGCCAGTCCCCACCACGACGAAATGGATGAACGACCTGACCGCCACATGCCCGACCTTCCGGCATCAGATCCTCAACAACCCGGTCCTGCACAGCCTCTGCGAGGAAGTCTTCGCGCCGCACGGGGACTACTGGCTCCTCAACGGCATGGCCATGGAGATGATGCCGGGCAACCCGACCCAGGAACTGCACAACGACCACGGCACGCACCCGATCCTGCAGTATCTGGCAGACGACGCCCCGTCGCCGGTGTTCAGTATCATCACGGCGGTGAACGAGTTCACGGAGGCGAATGGCGCCACGCGCGTGATCCTGGGGAGTCATCGGTGGCCGAAGGGCCAACGCGGGAAGGATGAGCAGACGGTCCGCGCGGTGCTTAAGCCCGGGGACGCGCTGGTGCTGTATCGAACGACGAAGCATGGCGGGGCGGCGCATGGCGCGGAGAACCCCGATCATCGACGCTTGTTGTTGCTGTCGGTCGGGAGCTGTCAGCTGGCGCCGTATGAGACCCATGTCACCGTGCCGCGGGCGGTGGTGGAGAGTATGACGCCCCTGGCGCAGAAGATGATTGGGTGGCGGAGTACAAAGCCGGTGATTTCGAATGTCACGGGGTTGAATACGGTGCGCATGAAGCATCTGGAGACGCAGATTGGGTTGAGATCGGAGGTGCCGTTGGAGGGGGAGTGCTGAGGTTGCTGCCGTGGGGTAGTTTCGGTGTTGATGGTTCGGGAGGGGGAATCCGCTGGGCAAGGCTTGGAAGGTCTACGTGGGTTCACTCCTGCTTAGGAGAAGACTGCAAATCCACCCATAAAGCTCTCAACCTGTTAATGGCAATTTTCATTCATAACGCGACTCATCCGTTGTAGTTAAGGCAAGCAAATTCACGCTGAGAGAACACTCCTAGGCCAGGCAGAGCTTCAAGTCCAAACTACCTAGACACGGTGTTGAACATGACCACATCGCACTTCTCTATTCCATCCGTCAACTCTACAACCTCTACATCCATTTCCCCGGTCATGTCCCGCAAACCCTCCTGCTCGGCCAAGAACACATCTGCTGCCCTCTCTCGCAAAGTTTTCAGGTACGCCGCGCAGTCGTCCGCTGTCTCGGTTCTCTGTTCCCCTTTCTTATCATGCAGCAAAGCGGCCCCGGCCCTAGGAACGTGGGGTTGAATCTGGCAGGGCCCCGATAGACACTCCTCGAAGTGGACCGTGCTAACCTCATAGGCGTAAACGATGTCGGCAGGCGGTTGCCACTCCTCCACCCCGGGCTCATGTCCAACAATGATTGCCTCAGCCTCAGGGCCCGGGCCTGCTTCCGTGCCAAGAAGCCGTGCTGTTATTGTCGCCTTCGTCTCCCGGCTCTCGAGAGAAGGCCTTCTCACCGTGAATCCCTCGGCAACCTTGATGCCCGTGATCATGAACACTGACGTCCGGCCAAACCCACTTCGCATCACACTCTGTACTTACGGATGTAAGCTGCGCTCAGTGGCCTCCTCATTGGTAGGATAATCGTGTAGATGAATGGTGTCCAGCCGCTCGTAGAAGTGATTCGCAGGGTCAAGCACAGTGCCTTCACCACCGCCAGCGGTATCAGCGAAGCGCAGGAATCTCGTCCAAAGTTGCCCGTGAAGTGTGGTCAACTCGTCATCACTCTTCAACATGCCTTCGACGTCTGTGTGTAATACGAGTATGGCAGGCTCCGTGGGGCTGCTGAGGGTCTTAGTGGGTTCTCGCCAGTCGGCGACGATATCTCCCGGGTTGATCGCATAATGGGGGTGGTAGTCAAAGCCGGGCACTAGGATATAGGATTCATTCGGGTTTCCCATCACTGTGTACGGTCAGTCAGATTGCTCATCAAGCTACTCCGTCGGGGTCTGGGTCTTGCCGTTTTAACAACGGGGTTTTCTCGATTGTGCGGCTTGGCTTGACAAGGTGGCGAAGGAGAGATGTGAGCGAGCAAGAAGGAAGGAAGTGTTGATCAACCTGACGATATGGCAGGAAACAGAATGACACAGATAATGGCCACCTAGCAGTAAAGGCGGACCACTGCTATATCCCACTGTGGAATTCTGCCTGTTTGGTGGAGCATGGAAGTTAGGTCACGGAAGGTGACATGAGCTAGATCGTCATCCAGACCTGATGTCTGCAAACGCCATCGCTCAATGGCCTGGAATGTTCTTGTCAGCCTGAAAAAAACGAGGGCTGAAGCCATGGACGGCAATCAGAAGCTTCATCAGGCTGTTTGCTTCGGCCTGGTGAGTGTCCCGTGTCTCAGCCATGCTGTTAGGTGTGATGGGCCACTGGCTGAGGCGAAACCTCCCAGTCAAACAAAGGTGACCAAAAGTGACCTGTGATGCAATTCCCACTTGACGCCTTCCACAGCTCACAATCTGCCATCAAAACATTGGATGAATTATTGCTGATGGCTAGACTTATCCAAATGGGGTCAAACAGATGAACAGCCGCTGATGAGGCTCAAGCGCATGATCAAATAACGAACAAGACCGGTTTGCGCATCCTTTTCGGCACCCCCGAAGGTACCTGACGTATCTCCTAACTGCCATTTTCGGACCCAGGAGCTGAAGCTTGGTAGGTGTTGTCTATCAGCTCTGGCTGAAGCGGCATGCGCCGGCAGAAACATGAAGCCTGAGGCCACACGCGGGTGGGATAGTGAGGCGCCCTGCCTTTATTTTTGGGTGTTTTGCCCCACCGTGACAGGTGGACCTGGCGCGCTGCCCCTTCTAAAAGCGGCGGGAACCCCGCATGGGAAGGTCGATTTGGCCTCTCACTCCCCTCTCTTGTTGCCATCTTCAACACTTTCTAGAGGGTCAAAGGACACCTCAGTGCCTCCAGTCCAATGGACTGTCTACCACCCGAGCTCATTCTCTCCATTGGGCAGCTCATCGAAAAGCATACACTATGTTCCCTAATCCGGTGCTCCCGGCGACTATACCACGTCCTTCAACCGCTTTTCTATTCAGAGATCCGACTGATTCCACCCTTGTCAGACAGCTATGTGTCTCTCGTTATGCGCCTATGGCGATGTCCCGAGCTAGCTAGTCTTGTGCGCCACGCCGAGATTCATCTCCCGATTATCCGCCACCCCCGCCGTCAGTACCAGCTGGACGAAAAAAAGGTACCCGAGCTCCAGGAGTTCATTCAGGATGTACAGAATGAGATGTTCGATCTCAAGGACAAGCGCAGACGTGATTGGTGGGGCACAAAGCTGAGAAGCAGTGATTGGTGCTTCTGGCTGGGCGTGTTGCTTGTCCGGTTGACACGTCTCGAGAGCATCGAATTCGTGGGCCTCTACAACAATAGCGCCATCTGTGATCTTCTGTACAGGGCCGGGAAACAGCAGCGGCCCTTCGACGAAACCTCCCCCTATCCGCTTCTACGGCACATTTCGGTGCGAGATTGCGAGCAGGGGTTCGATCTCGAAGAAGTCCTGACACCTTTCTTCTACTTCCCTGCCGTGGAAACAGTTGATGTCAGCCAGCTGTGGGAGGGTCGAGGACGGAATGATCCTTTGGAGGGGCGGCGAGAGGCCAGCTGCGCCCGTTGCCCGGTCAAACGGATAGACATCCGATCATTGAAACAATCGCGTGGCACGCTCACCTGGCTCGCAGACTGCACAGAGCTAGAGCATATCTCGGTGCGAATCGCCTGCATCTTCGTCGGGTACCCTGAGATCCGTTTCGGTGTGCCGTTCAACCCCGCGCGCTTTGTCCGAGCCCTTCTTCCGTTCAGGAAAACCCTGAAGAGTCTGCACATCGAGTACGACCAAGTATATCACGCCTTACTGAACGCCCCCGGGCCGATAGAACTGTACTATGAGGACATCTATTGGCTCACCGAGGACGAGCAGAACCTGGATCATTGCAATGCGCCCGTAGACTCGATGCGCGACTTCGAAGTCCTCGAAGCGGTGACGCTGCGACACGCCAACCTCTTACCAGCATCTGATGGAGCTTCCGCTCGAGGCATTCTCGCGGACCGGCTCCCGAGATCCCTCCGACGTCTTCGCGTTCTCAACATCGTGGAAAACCGCTACGCAGATCTACTTGCGGAGATCACCATTCTCGTCACCACCGCCCGCGATGCCTTCCCCGATCTGAACCAAATCCAGCTCCCGAGAAACACCGTGGACGAGATGTCATTACCTTCTTTCCAACAAGACTGCACAAACGCGGGAGTATCATTCGAATACTTCTAGATTCATCCAAATGCCAGCAAAACCATAGAGTCACAAATACCCAATCATCCACTTCCATCCCTCCTCTATCCACAACCCCTACCCCTCCTACAAACAAGTCAACAAATCGCCCAACCTCTCCAACACCACACCTTGCACGGTGGCATTGGCATCAAGCTTATCGCTCGCCAACCCCACCGAAACACTAACATAGCACCCATCCGAATCCACCACAGCCGTCTCCGTCGGCAACCGCGTCGACCCGCAAGTCTCGACATCATCCGCCGTGATCAACGGCAGCGCCGTGTGGATCCGCGACAACACAAAGCTGAATTCATCCGCTGTCGCGCAGCTACCCCCATCCGTCACCGCCCCAAAATTCACATTCAACCACACATTGTCGGGGAGGTACGGCGCGTCTCCGCCCGCGATCAGCTGATCCGTCAGCTTGGTCGCCAGCTCCGCGTACACCTGGCTGTACAGGGGCACGGCCGAGACGTTCCACGCCGTCTGCTCGCCCGTCGCGCCCGAGAACGCGATCGCGGGGATCCCCGCCGTGTTGGCCGCGTAGGTGGCGGCGCCGACGGTCCCCGAGAAGAACACCTCCCACCCGAGGTTGGAGCCCACGTTGGGACCCGTCACGGCGAGGTCGGGGCTGGCGCCGGAGAAGAACGTGGAGGCCAGCGTGTTGATGCCGTATTTGATCGACGTGACCGGGTAGGAGTTGACGTAGTTGAACCGCGGTTCCGTCGCGTTGGAGCCGTAGGCCGGGCTACCGGCGGGGCAGCTGTCGAATTCGCAGGCTGAGGTTAGGACGGTCGGGGTGCCGTCGTCGGAGCCTGTTGTTTACTGGATTAGTACTATAGGAGTAGTTGCGGGTGGGTTTGAGAGTTTGAGAGTATCTCCGTTGTCGCTGTGAGGTTTGGGGGGGGAATATGCTATGCTATACATACCAGTGCCGCTCTCATTCTCAGCCGGGGCGGAGATCACGACCGAATGGCCTGCCTCGGTGAGGGAATCGTAGAGCTGCCGGATGTTGATCTCCGCCCAGCCATCATCATTCGACGAGATGATGTTGACAGCGTGCGCGGAGAGAGGCAGGAGCGCGAGGGCACTAGCGACCGGGAAATGCATGATTGCGGACTCTGTGAGCTACACAAACACAAAGTGTCTACGGTAGGGGCACGAGGCGCCGGGTCTATATAGCTGGCGGTGCCGTCGCTACCTAGCAGCTACTACATTATACCAGGAACTTTTTCCATGGAAGAATAGCCGAGCTATCCACTCGAAAGCCAAGTTTTGGCAGCTTAACGGTTAATTTTCCCCCTCTGCTTCCGACGCCAGGAACAGCAGGTCGACATGTCGATCGCCGAGAATGTGCTGCCTGTCACCAATCAGTGTAGCCACGTGCAGGACAAATTCCTCGGCTATAATGTTTATGATGCACAATTAATCTACGGAGATAAAATGGCCCAGGTGTCTGTCACTATTCAGGAGAATATGGAAGGGGACGGCAAGTGGGTCCTGCCGCACCACCCATCGATCCATCAATGCTTCATTGTTTGAGCACATGGGCTGTCCTGGCCTGTTCACAATTCCTGCATGCACGGGACCACGGACCTGCAGAACCGGGCTAGTATTCACGGAACCCCAGCGGTCCGTCCCCAAATCCTCTCGGCCAGATTCTGCACCAGCTGCAGCTTTTCCCACATCTTCCCGTCCGTCATCCCAATGCCCCGGCCGCGACTGATGCTCGAGAACCCACACTGCGGACTCACCCCTAATGTGGTATCGAGGACCTCCTGTCGACTACGGCCCTGGCCCTGGGCAAGCACGTCCGCCGCTGCGTACACGCGGGCCTCGAGCTCGTCCAGGGACTCCATCTCCGGACTCTTAGTCGAGACGACGCCCAGCACCACGTTCTTGCCCACCGGCAGGTACCGCAGCGGCTGGAAGTCACCTGCTCGCTCTGTGTCGTACTCGAGATAGAAGGTATCGAAGTCCAGTCCCGTGAACAGACGCCGCGCAATGCGCTCATACGAGCCACTGATGATGTGGGTCGACCCGGGCATATTGCCCCGGCAGAGATGGATGCCCACGTGCAAGTCCGCTGGCCGACCCACCAGGCATTGGTTGTGCGCCCAGATGTAAAGCTCCAGCAGCTCGTCCGGATCAATCCCATCCGCGCGGCAGCCCAAGCGGAACTCGTCCGTCACGAAATACAGCAGCTGGGGGTCGTCCACCTGGATCGACCGCAGGCCTGCATCATACAACGTCCGCAGCTCCTGAGCGTACGCTTGGGCAAGATCGGCAAAGTATTCTTTGTCCGTCGAGTAGGGGCTACGGTCGGTAAAGGCAGTACCGGCGCGCAGCTGCAGATGCTGCCAGGTGATCGGGGGGATGGTGATCTTGCACTCTTTCCATTCTGCCGGGGGCACAAGGCTCCGCAGGTACTCCCAGTCTGCGAGGTACGGGCTCTCAACGTAGCGGATTTTGTCGACGGCGATTACTGCTTCGCGGGCGGTCATCCCGTTGCGGATCATGACGTTCACCACGGGAAGTCCATTTCGTAGTCCCGCGGGGACAGGCACGTCCGGGACAATTTCGAAGCCGTGCAGGCGCTCGAAGAAGCCGGAATAGTAGATGGTTCGCTCGTATTCTCCAGACATGATGGGTCGGACCTTCCGCTGCAATTGCTGCTCGACCGCTCCAGCGATCGCATCCTCTGTGATTTTTCTGAGGGCATCAGGGACTGGCTCGGTGGTATACGACACGAGATGTCCGGCGGCAGCCCGAGCGGCAACGAGTTCATCGGGCCGGAGCAGCGAGCCTATCTGCTCGGCGCGAAACGGGGGAGCCATGATTCTGATGGTCGTTTCTGTATCTCCTGGTTTGTGTTTGGGGCGTCTTCCACAGATAGAATGTATCGAAAATCCTCAATGTCCTTCCAGACGCCGAGAAGAGGCTGGTACTTTGAGGGGAAGAGATCCGGGGTCAGACGTGCGGAGAAAGATGGAGCGCGAGTGCGGAGTTGACTGCGGATAAGATCATATCCAGCACAGACCGTCAGCCTCCTTCGCCGGTTTTCCCCATAGCCAACCACTGTTGTACTAAACTACATGATGGCAGCATTGTCAGCAGGGTTTCTCACCGCAAGCCACAAAGACTGGTGCAGGTGACCAATGGCATGGATGATACATCCACTAGAGCTCTGAAGGAGGTTTCAGTTTGTGGTAAGTACGACCGTTTCTCCAACTCGTCAAGTCTGGTTTGTTTGATTGATTGGTAAAGTCTCGGATCACGAGTTGTTTGCTTTTGCACTATGATTCTTTGGTGAGACTTAACTTGATTGCTGCGGTCGTCATCCCTCACAGCTTGACGAGCAAATCGGCGAGCACATGCGTGTCCATTTGCGGCAACTCGCACCGAATGAATAAAGATATCGGTGACACTTCAGTTGGCCCAGCAGCTTCAGCACCAGGTACTCTCCCTGTAGTAAGTTGCATAGGCTGGTAACAGAATGAAAGTGAGGGTAAGGTGAACGGCATTGTCTCAGGCCGCTCCTAGTGTTGCGGGCTTGATGTTAACATGATCTTCCTGCTTTCAAGCCTGAGGTTTGTACTGTCTCTCTGTCGCTCTCATTTGCCTTCTGAATACTCTTTATGAAACTGGTGTGAATAAACTCAAGTGCTGTACGACAGCAGTGCAAGAGATGCCTCCATCACGAGGAGTGAATTGAAGAGCTGGAGAAGCCATGCTTTCTCGCCCAAAAGGGTTAGCAGCCATCCTCCTCCCGTGCTAGCACGTGACCTTATCACTACGCCCAATGCGGACAGCCTGCTTACCAAGCCGTGTCACAAATCTCGGTTTCATCCTCCGTGCCGATTGGCAGTCCATGATCTTGCCGGTGGATGTTCTGCGTATCTCCCACCAATTGCACTCACTTCGATCACTACTTTTTTCAGTCTCCATGACGCACTTCTTGAAGTAGTCCCTGAACTATCATCCAATCGATGCATGGCCACTAGCGATTAACTCGGGCGGGCGTTCGCCTTGGCTTCGACTTCTCTCCTGCAACCCCCCCCAGGGCAGTGAGGAAGCATATTTTCCCAACTTCATTCTCTCGTTATCTCAAAATCGACCTAATCGTGCAGGCAGGCAGCGCCTCCTTCCTTAATTAACGCATCATTTCCACAGTCCCTCGTTCACCTACCCTCTGCATGCCTTGAAAAACCCACGTATGCCCCAATTTATCCCTGGCAACACCAGCAACAACAACACCACGGGCCTCGAGCGGCGCCTGGGGGACCCGAACGTCGAGGAGTATGTGTTCCCGATCCTGATCGCACTGGCGTGGTGCAACGCCCTGGAGCTGCTGGTGCTGTGCTTCAACACCTTCAAGCGGTACGCGGGCCCCTACTTCTGGAGCCTCCTGATCGCCTCGGTCAGCATCCTGCCCTTCGGGCTGGGCTACCTGCTGAAGATGTTCGACATCACCGCCACGGACTTCTACCTGGAGATCGCCATCTCCGACCTCGGCTGGGCCGGCATGGTGACCGGCCAGTCGCTGGTGCTCTGGTCGCGGCTGCACCTGGTGCTGCACAACCAGCGCCTGCTGCGCGCGCTGTTCTGGCTGATCATCGTCGACGGCGTGCTGCTGCACTGCTGCGCCACCGCGCTGGAGTTCGCGACCAACGCCCGGCCGGACTCCGGCGCCATCTCCCTCGGGTTTGGGGTCATCGAGCGCATCCAGGTCACCTGGTTCTGCGTCCAGGAGCTGCTCCTCTCCGGCGTCTACATCGTCGCCACCGCCCGCCTTCTCCGCCTCGACAGCGGCAGCCCCGCCTCGCGCGCCCTCCTCTCCCAGCTCCTGCTCGTCAACGTCGTCATCGTCTTTTTGGACCTGGCCGTCGTCGCCATCCAGTGGGCCGGCTTCTTCACCTTCCAGGTCACCTTCAAGGCCCTCGCCTACAGCATCAAGCTGAAGCTCGAGTATATTATCCTGGGCAGGCTCGTCGATGTCGCCCACATCCGCACGCAGGGCGCCGGGCCCCGGTTTCGCATATAGACATACAGATGGACCATTGGGGCTAGGCTGGATACATCGTAGGATTGTTTAACAGGTCATTTTTCTATGTATATAATTCACCTCTTCTTTAGCCAACCATGTACATTCAATAGAGAACGAATATTCTTTGATGATTGTTATATCTCTCGGATTGAAAAGGGGTGCGACGGCTATGACGCGCTACATTTCAAACCCACTACTGTACACCCGGTATCAATTCCTCTCTATCCACCTCCGACCCACATAATTATCGAACCGCACATTGGGGGGGGGAGCCCGCAGCCCGTGGGGAATACTGTCAAGTCCCGTTATAACATAATAATAGTAACGCGTGTATAAATTTGTGATACAGGGATTTTCGCTATATCGATTTGGTGTAAATAGCTAACCATGTGACTTTCCGATTTTTCTGATATCTGCTGACTAATGGATAGCCATTTATTTTTGATCTTTTATCTTTTTTTTCTTCAAATTTCCTATTTAAGACATTTTTATTGTCTCGATATAACGGATTCTGTGTTAGAAAGGGTCGTCTTTCGAATTTTGTTGTACAGGGATATAGCGAATCTTGTATGGTAAAGTTCATCAAGCTGTTGTGAAAGTTCGCTATATTCCAAGAATTCGTCTTGTGGGAATTCGTTATAGCGGGACTTGATAGTACCTACTACACTACTAGCACAGCGTCATCCCGGATCACCCGCTCCACTTTCTTTTCTTCGGAGTTCTGACCCCTCTGAAAAGATGGAGACCAGAGTTGCTACTAGGTAGCAACCATTGCTGGTCTCTGTCACCCCTCTAATAGCACCGCGTTCCAATTCCCCCCAACTCACTTTAGAAAATGGAATATCACAATACAAAGTCCGGGGGATAACTGAGGGAAGCAGGATTCTTGAGGATTTTAGTTACAAAAGGTACTTATGTTTGGATATTTATAGACACAGTGACAAGAGATATAGACAGTCAATCTGATCCAGACTTTAAACCCAGATATAGACAGTATGTGCAAGGGGGTCTAGGTCACTATTTACAATCACCAAAATCTCAAGTCTTCTTCTCCTCCGTCTGCTCGGCCTCGATCTCCAGCCGCTGCGCCTGGACCATGGTCGCGATCGCGTCCTCGGTCTTGAGGTAGGTGTGGCGGCCCTGGAGGAACCAGAACCCGACCGCGACGACGAGCATGACCCCGAACACGGCGATCGCCCAGTTCATGTCGCTGGCGGACGGGTTGGGTGCGCCGGGAAACAGGAAGAAGATCGTGGTCACGATGCAGTAGATGACGCTGATGTAGTTGATGGGGGCGCCCCAGCGGCCGAGGTGGAACTCGCCGGGCGGCAGCTTGTCGCGGCCGACGATCAGCAGCGCGGCGATGGGGAGGCCGTACGAGATGGTCAGCGCGATGGTGCTGACGCTCAGGATCGCTTGGAGGACGGTGTCGGCGAACAGGTACAGGACCCCGACCAGCGCAATCAGAAAGCCCTGGAACCACAGCGCCCGCGCGGGCACCTTCCACACCGGGTCGACGTGCATCAGATACCCGCTCCAGGGCAGGCCACCGTCGCGCGCGAAGCCCCAGGTTAGCCGGGAGGCGGTGGTGAGGATGCTGATGCCCTGTCCGAGGCCGTTGAAGATGAACAAGGCCAAGAGGGTGGCGCCGCCTTCCAGCCCCACGGTCTCCAGCATCAATTCCATGAAGGGCAGGCCGGTCGCTGAGTTGATGACGTTGTCGACGTCCTGGATCGAGAACAGGCAGACCACCATGAAGATAAAACCGGTGATCGCTCCCATCAGGACCGAAAGCCAGATCACGCGCGGGGCGTTGCGGCGCGGCGCCGGAATCTCCTCCACCATGTGGATCACTGCATCGAAAGCTGTGAGTCCGTACGCCGCCTGCACCAGCCCAATGAACCACACCACCCCGTCGTCCCAGCCGGTCTCATTCATCCAATTCCCAAAGACAAACGAGGCCGGTTGAAAGGTGAGATCTTTCTTGATGCCCACGGAGATGAGCAGGGCGAGGGAGAGGATGACAAACAGCGCGGTGAACCACACTCCCACAAAGTTGTTCAGCCAGGGCAGGAACTTCTCCTTCCGGCAGCCGAGGAGGTTTATCACCGTCAGCACCAGGACGCAACCGATGTAGACGACGAATTCCAGCCAACCCGTGCCAGCGCCGCCCCACGAGTTGTCGAATAGGACCTTCATCCCCAGCAGGAACTCGGTCATAAAGGCCACCTGCGAGGCAGTCAGGGTCCACCACCCGAAGGTGTTGATCCACGCACACATGTACGAGGCAAAGCGACCCAATGGGGTCTCCCAGAGTCGGAAGACCCAGTAGGCCTGGCCCAAGGCCGTGGGCATACTACTTGTCAGCTCCCCAAGGGAGACAGCGACACACAAATTACATGCGGTGACCAGAACAAGACCCCACAGAATGGAGATGGGACCTCCATTGGTAAGCCCACTGTCAAGATCCTGAGCAAAGGTGGAATAGGTGCCTGATTGGTGCCTCAGAATTAGTTCATGGGGTTTTCTTCTCTCTCTCGGCTAAGTTTGCAAGTGGGTCGGGAGCGGAAAAACAAGGACCGGCCGGCCACATTGTCCAAGTGAACAAGTGACGCAAGAAAGCACACACACACACACCTAGAACGCAGAAGGCTAGGGAGAGCATGCTCCAGATATCGAATTTGCGCGACAGGGCCTGGTCATGGCCCATCGCGGCGAGGTCGCTGGCATCTTGGGCATGTTGATCGCCCGAGTGGAACGGTTTGAGGGTTTCGGGGTTTTCCACGTCCATACGGGAGGGAGATTTGCAGAAAAATGATTGTTGTTGTATTCAATGGATTGGTTGGATGTACAGTACTGTCAACCGACAGATAGCGCAATGTATTCGGGGGAGAGGCAGTTCATCCAACTGTCCATTTTCTGCTGACTGAGGAAAGAGTCACACTCTGTGAGATGTCTTGAGGGGTGCTTGATATATGAACCAAGCGAAGGAAAGGTGCAGCAGTAAAGTGTGGCAGTCCTCGGGTTATTTCCCCTCACGGCGCGAGCATTCTAGGGGGGCCAGGCAGCACAACTAGATGGGTAATGGGGAAGAAGTTATCGAGTCTGGGAGGGGAAGATAATCAATGAATTGAGTAATTGGTCATAACTCAGATCTGCGTGAGTGGACAAAAAAGATAAGTTGGTGATAAGCGAAATTTTTTTTAAAGATTTGCGGGGGGGAAAAAGAGAGGCTTGGCTTGGGAAAAGAAGTGCTTAAGGCTCGGCAGGACTTCCCAAGTGGGGTTGGCAACTTTTTTGACCCCATCCACCCTTTCATTCTCTTGCGGGCTGTCATACCTTCAATGCTTGAACCAGATATTTCTTATTCGGTTCGAGATCAAAGTGTATGAACTACAGATGTTTTGCATAGATGGATATTGCATCACACTGCTGTATCTCGTCTACTCCCTCGACTAACCTGCCCGATGGTTACTCGAAATGACATCAGTCCCTCCGGCAGTCTTCTTCCGAGGTAAACAAATACGTCAATCTCCCTGGAGAATACTGGATCCATGACAGTGGAAGATTTGCCCCTATCTACCAACCTTGACTGTCATAATTGACGGTTGCAGCAGCGCCGTCCCGTGAGCTTCCCCTCGAACCAAAGATAGTAGCTCCCTGTGACACTCCTCAGCATCATCATTAATCCCGATCCGGCAAGTGCACGCGGTGGCGATAAGTCCGTCCGGGGAACCGATTGTCGATCGGATCCATGGCTTGTTATCTCCTCCGTGAACCAGCTTCCTCCGACTATAGCCATAGTTGAACACATTGTGATGAGAGCGATACGAGGAGCTCAATTGATCATTTGACATCTGGTTCTGGTTCATCTCCCAGATACCTTGTCGACATCCACCTTGACGAGGCATCCCAAGATCTACAACAACCTCCTGCTTTTATGGTGCGAGACTAGTCTCAAACTCTATATCCCGATTTCCAGGCTTCAGAAGAGTCGAAATGCGGGGTTGGGCTACAGGACGATCGGAGCGGCCCAGGGACACTGGCCGCTTGTCAGCTGGAATCAAAGATCCGACACCGGAATGGCGGGTTTAGGTTGCAGCACAAACGAGCTAGATGATAGGTCCAAAACACCGAGGATAGCGGGATATTTTCACGCTTGGCGATAACTGCCAGGTGAGGTTCCCTGCCTGCCCTTAGCGTTTCAGAGCAGCATGTACTTCTGGGCAGGGTAGCAGTGGACCTAACAAAAGCCCCTGGCTACCTCGACACTTCCTCAATCAAACGATAACATTGTCTCTGCGCTGCGATGACTCGAAATGTGAACCCATAACTTATCTGTGTCACTGGTTCCTTTGTTATAGAACACTAAATTGCAGGCCCAAAGCCATTCCACTGCGATTCAGCTATGTTCACTGAGGTATGTTCACACTCTTGGACACATGAAGGGCAGATGAAGCTGAGCAGATGTATTCATAATCAAAAATGCTGTCTGTTCAACGCTAACTATCTTGTTTAGGCGAGCTCTCAATATCAGGGTATACCACTGCAAAGGACCAGTCATGGGATGATGACCAAGGAGTGACGGGGGAAGCTCACCCTTTGTCAGAAAACCACCAGTGCACTGCACCCACCGTCAACTTACGGTGTGAGTCACAGGTCTTGAGCTCGGACTACGTTGGTCGAGTCTTGCTATAAGTCAGGCTACTCTCCGCCCAACTTGTCCCTAAGACACCACATCCCGCTTTCCCCAAGGCACATCCTCCGACACCCAGTGCCATCTCACATGGTCAAGCCATGGCACAGTCCACACCCAAAGTGACAATGATCGAGCATCTGAGAAAAGGCGGGGAGATTAATCAAAACTCAAATGTTGAAGCTAACCACCATGTCCACACATTGATCAGCAGTGCCAAGAATGGGAATACGAGATGGCTCATGGTCGCCGTATGACAGGAAGGCCAGCGGCTCCTTATAGTGCTATATAGACATCACATAAACAATTCATGACATGCGACTGCCCTGAGCTTCGATTGAGCATATCCCTTTTTCTACTTAATGTTGTTACCACTATGGCCACCGGCAGAGGCCTTGTTGCTCTCGCAACACTCGGATCTCTCCAACAATGCATGGCCACCGCCAACCTCCCGCCCGCTGTCCTGAAACGAGATACCTCGCCGCCTGAGGCGGGCAGCCTTACGAAGAGGGAAGTCTGCTCGGACGGCACCCGATGCATTGTAGGCAGCTGCTGTGGTGACGGGTGCTCCTGGAATTGTTGTGGTCTGGACCAAGGTGGATGTAAGATCCCATACCTCAATGAGCAGTCCTCTGGTTGCGCATGGAACTATGGATGACTGACCGACACAACAGTTGGATGCGATCTGGGCGCGCGGTGCCAGTTCGACGGCAATGTGTTCATCGGATGCTGTGACAATTTCGTTGGGTATGCCTCGTTCACTAGTCATCTTCGCCAACACGCATCAACCTAACCTGGTATCCTAGCGGCTGCACCGGCGAAGCCACCCGCATCACCGTTCACACTCCTTACAGCACCGCCACCTTGAGCGACTCGACAGCTAGCGTATTAGCCGCGACAAGTTCTTTATCGACTTCGTCCATCACCGCGTCAAGCGCAACGCGTACTACACCACCTTCAGCACAAACCAAACCGACCTCGGAACCAACCACCGCCCTCCCATCCTCCACCTCATCCAGCAGATTATCGCAGACGGATTCAACATCTGCAGCGACAGGAGCAACCAACGCAAGCCCAGCATCGAGCACATCCTCCTCCTCCTCCTCCTCCTCCTCCTCCTCCTCCTCCTCCTCCTCCTCCTCCTCCTACTCCACCTCCTCTTCTTTATCCACAGCCCTATCCACCACACCCGCACAAACCCAATCCCCCAACAGTGCCGACATACCCCATTCCCAAGCCCGGGAAATAGCCACTCTCGTCGGACTAGCAGCCCTCGCATCCTGGTATCTCTTTTAGATTCCATTTATCACAAATCACCATCCCTCGCCAGAAGCCCTCATTCTCTTCACCACCATTCATCCCTTCATGAGTATAGCATAACCCATGTTCAATGTACCTACTGTACCACACACCCCCTCAAAAAGAATACCACCCAAATACCCACTCTACACACCCCAGCCCCCTATAGCTAGCAGCCAGGCACAATACCCACCACCCATACCCATGACCCATCAAAACCAAGCACCAAATGCCACCACAACCCTAACCCCACCCCATCCCCGGGACACACAACCCAACATCCCTACAGCAACTAATGCAAATCCTGCAAGCCGATCGCCCCACCCCTCCATCTTTAGCACACCCCAATCCAGATCGGCCCATACTACCTACCGCATTGAACTTCACAAGGACAGCGCCACAACCAAAACCCCAGTCCCATCCGTAGGACACGGCGGAGCACAAAGACCGTCAGGGGGTGCAGCCGTAGCCGTGTAGCCGTGTAGCCGTGTGGGTACGGTACGGAGCTCTCCGAACGGGGCACCTAACCTAAGGGTCGTATGATCGACCACCCACCCCGGAATAGTTCTCCGGGTGGATGCGGAAGGGTCGGTGGGTTTGTGGCTTGTGCGAGGGATGGGATGAGGAGGGGCATTCTTACTGAAAGGGGAGCTGTGGCCTACCTATAGATGACTGGGGTGGTGGCTTTGCTGGATCTATTTTGGGTACTTGGTTCTTCGGTGGTGGGAGATGCACGTGATGCCGATGGGGGTTGTTTTACTTGTTAGGGATGAGGGTTTCTGGGCTTATATGCATGCTGTTTGGTATATGCCTGCGTACATAAATGCGTTATACGGGATGTTAAGCTTGGTAGGTAGGGTGGTTTGAGGGTCGAGGGTTCGTCGACGATGGGATAGATTGAAGCGTACGTTGCTATCAATGAGCGAGTTGTGGGTATATCTCAGATGCTGGCCCGTACACAGAGTATTGCAACTTCAATCAGGTGCTGTGTTCAACCGAGTAGTCTCTTGATTTTGTCTACACTCGGCCTCTAAGAATGTATGGCATGCGAGAACAGCTACCTAGTAAGGTAGCCCCTCGGCGGGGACAATAGAATAATTTTACAGTCATAGCCCCAGATAAGTTACTACCACAGCGGAACGACTCATGTAGCTTTAATAACTGACTATAAAACAAATCTCCAAGTACTGAGTATGTGCACAACACAAATCAGGCCATCGATCATCCTCCATCGAAGACCTATACCTAGCAATAAGTAGATCGACATCCAAAACCATGGTCCACATCTCGAATCTCCCTTTTCAGGACTAGCGCATTCTGTAGTATGGGAACCTTGCCAAGACTTCTCTTATAATCCTGAGCTAACAGCCAGCAGAGACAGTTCTGGAATAACAATAATACTCAACAACTATCGCTTACCGCCTTCCACGCTTCTGGACATTTCTGCCGGGCCGACAGCGCGATCTCATAACAGACAGCATCATGGTCGGCGGCACAACTGGCGGTGTGCGCGTCTCAAGAAGTGGATTTCTGGGTCTTGTTGTTTCGTCAGTGGAGAGTGGAGATGTTGTAGAAACTATCTACACAGTACTATGTATCAATATACTGAGTAGTTGACTCCAGAGGATTGCGAAAATATGGGTGTTTTTGTTAATGTCAATTGCACATGATTGGCTGGCCATTTATTGGGCGTGCTGTCAAGCTCCAATGTAGACAATCATGCTTGAACTATACTGAAGATTGGTGATGTCGTTTGATGAGAAGATATGTGATGATTAGACTGTTTCTCAGTTCTCAAGTACTTCTCCTCTCGGGCAAGTCTGCCAACCCTCACATAGGTAGAGACCATCAGTTCCGGTGGTGCACAAAACGCCGACCCAAAATATATTCCCGCATGGAGACAGCATACTGGTCTTCATAACCACAGCGTCGACGCAAAACCCACGGAAAGAGATCGCAATTCATGTATTCGTAAAAGTTCATACTACCTTCGCAAAAGACTGATTTGTAAGCTGCACCAGCGATCCCCAGCAAGATCAATTTTTTTTTGACATCTTGGCACCCGCTCACCCGAAACAACAAGATTTCACCCACGCCTCAGGGAAAGCCAGTTCTGACAAATCTGTTGGCCTGGTTGATATAAATCCCAAAGGGTTCCAAGACCTGCTTCAAGCTTATCCTTGTGAAAGGCATCCTCTAGTCCCACATCATTCTCAACACCACCAAAGGCACCCGCGCCGCATTACGTCATCGCATCGACACCTCCCCTAAAAATGCCCACGATCGGAGTCTTCCCCGCCGCCGGCGCCCTGGGCACCAGCACCATCAACCATCTCGTCAAGCTCGTCCCGGCGTCCGATTTGATCCTCGTGGCGCGGAAGCCGGACAACGACCACCTGGCCGAGCTGGCCCGCGCGGGGGCGACCGTCCGCCGGGCCGACTACGAGGAGCCGAGCACCCTGGACCGTGTCTTCGACGGGGTCGATGTGCTGCTGTTGATTTCCTATGCGTCGATTGAGATCCAGTTTCGGTTCGAGGTATGTTGACTCTGCTTTCTACGTAAACAAATCCTGGAGGAACCTAAGCTAAAGGCCGAGACAGGCACATAAACACGCCATCGACGCGGCGCGGCGCAGCGGCGTGAAGCACATCTTCTACTCGTCGCTGGGATTTGCGGGGGATCTGGAGACGAGCAGCGTGGCGCACGTGATGAAGGCACACCTCAAGACGGAACGGTATCTGGCAGAGTTACAGTCCTCATCATCCAGTACTCAATTTACCTATACGGCGGTGCGGGAGGGGATCTACTCGGAGTCGTTCCCGATCTACACGAGCTGGTTCAATCCCCACCACCCGGCGGATGAGGTGGCCATCCCGCATGCCGGCGACGGGCCCGGGGTGACCTGGGTGAAGCGCGACGAGCTGGGCGAAGCCACGGCGAAGCTCGTCGTCGATTACACGAAAAGCCCGCGCGATTTTCCGTACCTGAACCGCGTGCTGCTGCTCTCAGGCCCGCGGGAGATCTCGCTGCGGGAGACGGTCGAGATCCTGGGTAGGCAGGTCGGGAAACCCCTCAAGATTCGGGAGATCTCCATGGATGACTATGTCAAGCTGCCGCAGCATGGGAAGAAGTTCTTTTATCATGGGATTGATCTGACGAGGGAGTGGGCAACGGCATGGGATGCTATTCGGCGCGGAGAGACGGCTGTCGTCTCGCCGCTCCTGGGCCAAATCCTGGGTCGCGAGCCGGAAAGCTTCGAGACCACGGTCAAGGCTTTGTGTGATGGTAGCGTGTCGCTGGCTGATCGCAGGTACTAGCGGTAATTCTTCGAAATAGAATAAAATCATATTTCTCGCAAGAATCTCGATGACGCACATAATGACCGCTCGATTCCGCATAGCGGGGTAAATGGCGGGTAAGATTCGGTCCCTGGATCGCTACCCGCGACGGCGACGAGACTTGCCGATGTTCTTCTCGGTCGGCACTTGACCCTGCAGACAGGATACAGAGTTTATCAGGATGTGACCCCCCTCTGTGGGCTCGTGACTTGCTTGCAGGGTCGAAGATCCTCCTCCCCTCCCCCCCCTCCCCCGCGAACAACAACCGACCGCCTTTGCCGTCAGGCGGGAATAATCTCTTCCGGCAGCTTGTCACGGCACTACCCCCACGTCAACACCAGCCGTCGGGTGGTCCAGAGCCGGAGTGCGCTGACCTGCACGGCAGATCTAACGTAGAGAACAGGCATTAGGCAGTCCGGACCGGACCCGCGGGTCTAAATCTGGTGATGGTCAGTGCTTGTGGAACTCGATGACGGTCGAGGCTTGCAGATGTCGAAACGTAGCCTAGCTCTAGCCCTCTGGGTGGGAGGTGAGGCATGATCCCGGCCCTGAGAAGAATTCCGGGCCACTGTCTGACTTCACCTGTCTTGCCTAAGCACCAGCTGGCTGGGTGCAGACTGAGGCCAAAGACGAGCCTGAGACAAGCTGCTGAGATCTCGAGATTGGATCTGCTGGCGGGCGATCTTGTAGCTGCCTCTGATCTCATACCCATTCCCGTGCCTAGTCGATTAAACTCTGTAGTAAGATTAGCCAGAGAAAAAATCGGGTGGCTGCACTGCGGGGTTACCGTTCTGAGCTGGCGTTGTGAAGCTAAAGTCTAACCTTGTTCTGCCGCTAGGAGCCAGAGTAGCACTGGTCAATGACGCAGCGCATAATTCTGGAATAGGTTTTGTGTTGCCTGTGAGTGGTAGTAGAGGGGCATAGGGCTGACACCCCGACTGACATATCCGATTTTCGTCCGGATAAAGAAAATTGTGGTCAGTAACTACTAAGTAGTTATGATGATCCTCAAAGGGGATAATGTATGCTCAAAGACGATGCCTCTGCCTTGCATCTCTCGTATCATGACCATCTCGTGTGCCGGAAGCACCTGAACCGAAGGGACATGATACTAGTCAGCTGCTGGCAACACGACATCTGAGCCACGGGAACGAGGCGATCAGGCAGCTCGGACAATAGTATCAGATTGGGATAACGTTGGCTCTATTATCTCCAGACAAGGTTGACGGTTTCTTCCGACGGGGACGAAAATAATGAGGCTTCAATTTGGTTGGGGATCTCACGTTACAGATTTGGGAAGGGGAGGAGGGGAGTCGGAAACTAACGAGGAAGCTTCAAGGGTTCTGGAGATGCCGGATCACACCACTGGGTGGCATCGCAGCAAACCCTTGGGATCCGGCATCCGGTCCGCCTGGCTAGTGAAGGCGCATCCGCTGTGGAGGGACCTGAACCTTACTCTAACTCGACAAGGCTATTTCTCCAGTGCTGGATGCCGAAAAATTTACTAGCGTCCGTCCGCACTGCTGGGGAGGGGCCGTGTTTGCATGCCGGAGATTTCGAGGTTGATTCATTCGTCAATTGAGCTTTAGTTGGGTAGCTTGCTTGCTTAGTTCCAAGTTCACTTGATCGCTGAGCTTACCTAACTTAACCAAATAAAGTAATGTTTGTGAACTAATTAACTTTTCTATGTGTGGTCCATGCCGAGTTGGTGGTTCCGGAGTGAAACTGTCAAAAGTGACGAGTTCGATGCGTAGGCACGGGACTTGGTACCTTGCCGCGCGAATGGAGCCGAGCCCCTCTCTCTCAGAGTTCTAATCAGGATCTGGCAGGAGGGGGTCACTACTAGCAGTCCGTCATTCAAAATGATTTCCGACTCGGGACTTCCGAGACGTCACTGCAATCCACCCTGACACCACATTCATCATCGGGCTGCTTATCATTATGTCACTAGGAAGGGCAAGATGAGGAATAATGCAGAGCATAGACAAGGCCTTTCATATCATCGAGCTCAGACGATCGATATGAATTTTCCGCTGACTCCGCTTCGGCTGTGTTTTTGTGCGTGCGTCATATATGGGTGTGTGTGTGTGTGTGTTTGTTTGAACCGAAGGTATAACATGCTGGTCATAAAGGCAGCCATCTTGTCTAGACTCTAGACTTGCTCCACTCGGACGGTTACCGATCCACTTGCCTTGGTCTGTGTGCCCCGTGATCTAAATCAGGAGTTGATTCCCGCCCGGAAGAATAATGCTCAATCATCTCGAGTCTCATTCGCCTGAAAGAGGAATCAGGAAGAATACCTAGTAACAAATAGGTATGGCATTGAATATTCCACCATGGACATAAGGATGTTTCCACGACAATAATGGGTCATCATTGAAGATTACGCAGGCAGTAAAACGAAGGGTAGGGAGAGAATTGTAACTAGGTACAGCCAGTACCTTACCTCGACCAGTTGGGCACCGGACTAGGGGCAAAAGCACCGCAGGGGCGAATTGTCAATGGTAGCCTCACCATTGGTGGATGGATCGATATATTAACCTGCCAATGTGATACAGATCGGTTCCCGACTCGTGTAGGCGAAGAAGATGAAGTACGAGGGGGTTTCGGATTAGTCGAGATTTCCATCCATCCTGCTCCGTACAGATTGCCTTGCAATCCGGACTGGGACTGAGGGCTTCGTGTAGTTGTACGTATCACAGCACCCTCGGGCGTAGAGCGAAGCAGAACGGGTTGTTGCGGCCAATTTCCGCCGGGCATCGATGTCCTTGAATCCTAAGGCATGACTACGGAAGAGCATTCAACATGATCCCTTTGACAACTACCGAGCTGCGTGCCAGGTCGCAGCATTGTGGATTATGGAGGGCTTGCCATGATAACGGAGAAGCAAAGATTCTGCATCAGATTGACTCTGTTGTGATGACGGATAAAAACACCTCAAAGGGGTAAGAGACACGATTTGCATCAATCCAGGACAAAACAGGCCTCGGGGGAAAAAATCAATTCCGCCGCTGCATGCTCGTTCCCCTGCAACGTCTGCACTCTGCACGCAGAATCTGCCAGTCTGATACTCCGTGGACAGTACAGTGCATGGACTGCACTGCACTGCACGAGTGCACGTAGGTAGCAGAAAGGACATCCAAACAGTTTCCAAACAGTTTGCCCTCCGGCCGAACAACGATTGTTCGGACCCGAGACTCGGCCGCCGGACAACTTGGCATAACCACCTTTGCCCCTTTAGGCGATCACGGGTCCACCCGAGGTCTCCCATGGATACCAATCAGGTCTAGATCCCCTTTGTTGTCCACTTGGAGCTGAGAAGTTTCAACGGTTGTGCATCATCGATCGATCCACTTTCACCCGATCCCTCCCTCCTTCTCCCCTCCCTTTCTCCCCCTCCTCCACAGTCTACAGTCCAGATACGCACTCACTCACATACTGAATGCACGTACACACACAGCCTCGAGGCAAAGGACTCCTGATGAGGTAAGTTACCTAGTACAAAGTACTGTAGTAAGGATAGCCCTGAGTTGTTTGCCTCCCGTCTCAGTGCGACGGCGGCCATTGCCGTCGCTGTCTGCCAGGCCCGTCACAGGGTTGTCCGTACCAGTGACCTCAATAGTATGGGGGAATCACTGCCGACTGAGGTACTGCTGAACTTTGCCCTGCTTCTCAATGGATGATCCGACGGACGGCTGTCTTTCGGAGCCGGCCGAGTCGAAGTCAGTCAAGTCAGTCATCCCTTCATCAACCTAGTCAAGTCAGTCAGTCAGTCAGTCCGTCAGTCAGTCTGGAAGAATGGATGCTCTGCATCCGGCTGGGGTGATCTCGGCTGTGCTTCACCGGCCCTGTGCAATAATCGGTTTGACAGGACTGGTCACTGCGTTCTCTGCCTCGTCTTTTTTTTCTTTTTCTTTTTTTTTGGCTTCCCCTCTCTTTTCTTCATCCTGATTAATATTAAATTTTTTTCTGGGAATATAATTTTTTTTTTGCCAATTGTTGTGGTTCTTTTTACCTGCCATTACATCATTGGCTTCGGTTGGTCTAGGGATCGGTTTCCAACACCGGCTTCTCCTGAAATTCTCATCTGCCTTTATATAGAGCCCCTCCCCGAGCGCCTCTCTGTTCATGATCCTTCAGATCCATGGTTCTATATTCAGAAGCTTCCTACATACTACAACCCAATCTGCAAATCTTTGCCACTCGACTTTGATATCTGTTCTATCATCGTCGACTATCTACACCGATCTACCTCGCAATCACCTGTCTTCCCAATCTCCACGAAGACACACCAACAACAAACAATGGCATACACCAGACCCGAAACTTTTACATTACCGGAGGACGAACGGATGTTCTTGAGTCAACCAAGTCCACTTTCTCGTCCCCACGACTCGTTCTCCAAGGGCCCGGACCCATTGACGGCCAACTGGAACTACGATAGCGCTATTGATCTGTTCTCCTTAAACACCATGATTCCCGAGACTTTCCCTCTGGAGATGTCCAATGACATGATGACTCTGGATCCCAAGGACTTTCCCACCGACTTCTTCGCTCCGCCTCCCGACATCAGTGGCTTCACTATCTCCAACCACTCTGGCGAAGATGCTGCCTCCTGCGGCTCTCTTTCTTCGGTATGTTAATCGACAGCGACATTCTAAGAGACTAGGAGACTAACATCTCATTGATAGGACCTCGAAAGTGATGATCAGTCGTGGTCTCCCACCTGCCGTGTCTCTCCTTTGGACTCAATGACCATGGAGTTGCCCAAGCCTGCATCGAGATCTGTGAAGAGTGCCAGTCGCCGCAAGACTGCAACTGCAACCCAGCAACAGAAGGCCCGTGACGAATTGGTGACGAGATGGTCGTCTAGTCCAGAAATTACACCGCAGGACTACCCCGCTGCCAGCGTATCTCCTCTCCCCGCCCCCTCATCCCCGATCACCACCACCCGCAAAACGACACGCAGCATGTCTGGGGACTCCAATGCCAGCACAGGCCAGGCCAACACGGCCACGGGCCGCAACGCCGCCAAGCGGGCCGCACACAACATCATTGAGAAGCGGTACCGCACCAACATGAACGCCAAGTTCGTTGCCCTGGAGAAGGCCATGAGCGGGGGCATCCAGAAGCCGACCAAGGGTGGATCAGCGTCGCTGAAGAAGTCCGAGATTCTCACCAATGCGATTGCCTTCATGCAAGAACTGCAGGAGGAGAACAAGGCCCTCCAGAAGGAGTTGGCCATGATGAAACAGAACGTGGTCCCTAATGGGATGTGGCGACACAACAAGGGGGCCGAAGCCTTTCACGCTTAATTCTTCCTTTTCACCCGTGAGGCTTCCTCTCCTCCTCTGCTATGACCGTCACGAATCTCTTGTATAATATATTATGATCCTTTTCTTCGGTGTTGATAAGCTTTTTTTCTTTTCTTTTTTTTTTTTTTTTTTCTTTTTATCTTGGGTCTGAGACCCCTCTCCTGTCGTGGATGGCGAATATGGAACAACGGCTTGGTTTGGACGGAGTCTTGATATACCCGGGATAAAAGTCATTAAGAATTAATCTCATCCTCCCTCTTGATCTACATATCTAGTACTTCTTGTGTGAAAGTTCTTTCTATATCTCAGTAGATTTCATGTGTAGGGTATTGTTGTTGAGCCCGGATGGGGTAATAAACCATCCGGTCACACCGCCAACCCCGCCCAGCCTTTGCCGTACCTACCTTAATGCATCACCAACCCAACCCAACCCATTCATGATTCATCCGTCCATCCTATCGATTTTACCCTCTCCCACTCCCACTCCCGTTCCCGTTCCGTTCCCCTCCCACCCAGCCCTACCTTAAGTTGGCGTGTCTGACTGGTTGACTAGTAAATTAACAGTTCCTCGATCCTGACAGAACCCCCCACCTCTTCCACAAATTCCGACCGGTCCAGATTTCTCTTCCCGAATCTAGATCATCTCCATGTCCTGGAATCTAGGCCATCTCCAAGTTCTAGACTATTCGGTTTGTTTTGTTTTTCTCTTCCCATTATCCTCTTAATATACACAACCTGCGCACCACCGACCCCAAACACAGATCCCCAGGACCGCGGCTATGTCACCTCTTCGCCTGCCTCGCATCGCAATCACGATGCCCTCAACCCGTGAGGGTCTAGACCCGCCATAGTCATTTCCACAACGACCCGGGCTGTCTGAGCTTCGCATCGTGCATGAGGTTCGACCGCGAAGCATCGCAGGCTTCAGAGATGTGCGAACTTCAGCAGTGATGTGAATTTGGTGACGTGCAGGCCAAGCGCACTATCGCAAGCACACAGTGCTTGTTGTGTGCCAATGTCGCTACCTCTTCGGACACGGCTGCTGCCTGCTCTTTTCACAGACTGCGCGCTTGTCTCTGGGAGGATTTGTTTTTCCATCTAGACCTCTACAATGGTCGTTGTGAGGCTGGTTGAGCCCTTGTCGGATATTCCAGCTTTGACTCTCTCTCACTGTTGTCTTTCAGATGGATTTTATCGACATGGATATATTAGTAGGAGGATGAGAAGGTGGGCAGGCGTCTCTTGTCGCAATACAGCATCATCTTGACTCTGCTACTTTCCCTCAAGCACCGGAAGACTTCATCGAGACCGCAAAGCTATCGCCGTTATCCAGCGAGAAGTCACGGGAATCTGCTGTGCAAGTATACCTTGTCTTTATAGTCTTCCTGTCGTGAAAGCGCCTGGAGGGACTGGAACAGTTCACTATGCCTGAGTAAGCTCTTGTCTTGCCCTCGTGGTTCAGCGATACTGCACACGCTGGGGGGATATTCGTTGACCCACACTCCATGCACCTCTCCAGTACTAGCAAATCAACGTCCCCCTCCATTCATTCTGATCCGTCGATGGCGACTACAGGCGATGATCCTAGTGCTTCACTATCACAGAAGACTAGGAACGAGGAGATGCTCTGGCGGTACCTGGAATCTCCGGCTTCCGAGGATCCATACCTTCCGCTCCATGACAGGCCCACTGATCGTGAGGCACACCTAAAGGAGCTCGAGAAGAAATTAGCGGAAATACACGCAGTCCTTGGGAAGAGGTCAGAAGAGGGGGGCCGGAAACAATGAGATAAGGGGAGAGATGCTTGGCAGCCAAAGATAGGCTTGAAGCTGGGTCCTCCCTCGGGCAACGAGCCTCATATATTGATATCCTGCATAGGATCTGTTCTGTCATGAAGATCACAAACATCGCATAGACATTGGAGGGAAACTTTTTCCGAGCAACTGTGGCCTTGTCTAGCGAAACACTCACCCGGGGTTAATAGGTCTCGTGATCGGATGAAGGTCTAAAACTGACGCAAAGTGCACAACACTGTACCTGGCGCTTGCCTTGTCAACAATGGACTTTTATTTGAATCAGTATCATCCCTCGTGTTCAGGATTCCATCCCTTTGATCTCCCCGCGTGCCCCTTGCTGCACTTTCCAGGGCCAACCTTGTGATTGACATCATCTCGGTCAGCTTAATTACAATAATGGCTTGGCTGTTGTACATATAATAATGGTAGCATTGGTTAGCGATGGCTTCTTGAATTTGAAGCATCAGATAATAGTAGCACCGGCAATGGTAAGACTCTCTGAAGCGAGATTTCCATCCCCTGACGGTGGTGGAGTTTGTAGATCCCCGATTGTCATTGGCAGTTCCCAAATATAAATCTCTTGGCAGCATTTCCAGCCCAGCAGTTACTCAAGAGTCGTACAACCAGTCTTCATCCATCCTCGTTTGTCCGGCAGTGGTGGCTGCTATTATCCTCCAAGGAGGGTCCCTCACCTCCCCCTCTTTTCTCTCAGTTTGCTATTCACATTAAACACTCATATCATGAGGTTACATTGGAGAGTGGAACAGAAGGGGGGGGAGCGGAGGGGGATTGTGGATGCCTGAGGCTTGGCAAGTGCGGGTGGAAACAAACAAACAAACAAATCAGCGTTCATTCCTGACTTTCCTCCCTGACGATCTTCCCCCAAATCCTCCCAACCTCCAAGCCATCCCAAGCCCCCCAAGCCTTAAGCCTTGACTTGTCTCTCTTCTATTCTGAGTCCTCGCTTCGCCTGTCCGACGGTGTCCGTCCTGAAAACATGCTTCGATTGACCTTCAGATCCACCGGGCGGAGCCAATCACCTTCCCAAATGGGGGAAATCGGCATGCACATCCAGGCATCACTGGACTCAATTGCATCCCGACTGGTAAAAGGGCCCCAGACATTCCCCCTCTCTCCGAGGCTATCACGCGAGATGCAGCTCGTCTCCGCTCCGTTGCACAACTGGCTGTCAAATAAATACACCTCATCTACCTCCCTCCCCTGTTGATTTCACCTGGACCTCGTCTTTGTTAATCCTTCTTTTGCTCTCCACAATGCTGCCCTCGCTACTAAGCAATGGCGCAGCCCTATCACTCGCAGCCCTTGCGCTGCTTCCGTCTCTCGGAGCAGCCGAGGTCTTCGAGAAACTAGCTGGAGTTCCCCCAGGTAAGCGACTCCTATTTACCGTTGCAAACACGGCGAGCAGCGACCGCAGGGCTTTCACCAGTCGATCTCAAACTCACTATGACTCCGTGATGTAGGCTGGAAATTCTCTGGTAATCCCAGCGGGCGTGAATCTCTGCGCCTTCAGATTGCTCTCTCGCAGCACGATCTGGCTGGGTTCGAGCAGGCACTCTTGGACATGTCTACACCCGGACACGCCAACTATGGAAGACATTTCCGTTCCCACGATGAGGTGAAGCGGATGCTTATGCCTACCGACGAAGCCGTCTCGTCAGTTCGGGAGTGGCTTGAGTCGGCGGGAGTTAGCGACATCGAGCAGGATGCCGATTGGATCAACTTCCGCACTACCGTGGCCGACGCTAATTCCTTACTCGATGCCAACTTTAAATGGTATGTCAACGAGAACACGGACATCCGACGACTGCGCACCCTGGCCTACTCCATCCCTGACTCAGTGGCCCCGCATCTGAACATGATTCAACCGACCACTCGCTTTGGCCAACTCAAGCCCAACAGAGCCACCATGCGTAGCAAGCCCAAGCACGTTGATGAGAAGTCGCTGGCGTCCGCCGTGCGCGCTCAGAACACCTCGCAATGTGACTCGGTGATCACACCTCACTGCCTTAAGGACCTTTACAACGTGGGAGACTACCAGGCCGATGCTAAGTCTGGCAGTAAGGTCGCATTCGCGAGCTATCTGGAAGAGTATGCTCGGTATGACGATCTCGCCAAGTTCGAACAGAGACTTGCTCCCTCTGCGGTTGGTCAGAACTTTACCGTGGTCAAATTCAATGGCGGCCTGAACGACCAGAAGTCAACCAAGGACAGCGGCGAAGCCAACCTCGACCTGCAATACATCATTGGCATGAGCTCTCCACTCCCTGTGACTGAGTACAGCACCGGCGGCCGAGGCCAGCTTGTTCCGGACCTTAGCTCGCCTGACCCGAACGACAATAGCAACGAGCCGTACCTGGAACTTTTCCAGAATGTTCTCAAACTCTCCGACGCGGAGCTTCCTCAGGTTATCTCGACCTCATATGGCGAAGATGAGCAGGTACGAACTCCTAATCCTGTGTTATCCTATGGGTCGCATTTCGCGCCTTGCTTCAATCTGCGTGGTTAGGCCTTGCTCGAAAGTTAACCATTACTATAGTCAGTGCCCAAGTCATACGCCTTGAGCGTCTGTAACCTCATCGCCCAGCTCGGTAGCCGTGGCGTCTCCGTAATCTTCTCTTCCGGCGACTCGGGTGTTGGGGCTGCCTGCCTGACGAACGACGGCACTAACCGCACGCACTTCCCCCCTCAATTCCCTGCGGCCTGCCCCTGGGTCACCTCGGTCGGTGCCACTACGCTTACTTCCCCCGAAAAAGCTGTCTACTTCTCCTCTGGCGGCTTCTCTGACTACTGGGCTCAACCCTCCTACCAATCCGAAGCAGTGAACGACTACCTCATCAACCTGGGACCGAAGTTCGCCGGCCTCTTCAACGGATCGGGTCGCGCTTTCCCCGACGTCGCCACCCAGGGTACCAACTATGCAGTCTACGATAAGGGTGCCCTCGGGCAATTTGATGGCACCAGTTGTTCGGCACCCACCTTTGCCGGCCTTGTTGCTCTCTTGAACGATGCCAGACTGCGGGCGGGATCACCCGTCCTCGGCTTCTTGAACCCATGGCTCTACAGCGCTGCCGTGGAGGGAGAGGGTTTCAATGATATCACTCAGGGAGGCAGTTTAGGTTGTGACGGACGTAATCGATTCGGCGGCACGCCCAACGGCAGTCCCGTTGTACCGTTCGCAAGTTGGAATGCCACGGCAGGATGGGATCCTGTGACGGGCCTCGGATCGCCCAACTTCGGAAAACTCCTCGAGGTAGCTCTGGATGCTTGATCCTCGGAAATTGTGTTTCTTTGTCCATATTTTGTCTCCGGCGGAGGTGAAAATATCCGATCTAGTTCTGAACTTGCTTCTCGGTTACTGGTCAGCGATGCGGCCAGACGTGGGTAGCGACGCCATTTCATGTCAACTTACCACTTTAATCAATGCCAATCTTGAAGATATTTTTCTCTCCTGATCAAACCCGTCTAGCATATAGATGCCGGCGACTCTCTGCAGCAAACGTTGGCTCTCATCACCTGATTAGCTGACTCATCCCGCATGTTCAAACAACCGAACTCCGGCCTGAATTGCGATGTACCATTGATCTAACGGTGGAAATGAGTGCCCGAACATCACAGCATTGCATGCACTCGGTCCGTTTTCAGATCGGCGAAGCCCGAGGGAAATTGGAGTCGACCGGTCACCCCATAGCCGCCCATGATGACTACACCGGCGTGCACATAAAGACACTAGGAAACGCCACCGTTGAAGGGTCCAGATCTCTTTCATTGTTTGTCCTCCGACCTCGACCATGGAACCCTCCCCCACCTGCCCCCCTCATTCGTCTGGGTACTACGCGCATACTCGGCCACCGACTCGTGTATGATGAACTTCACCCTGGCTACTATACCTCTTCCGTTCGGTTTCGGCGGGCGCCTTTTTCTGCGTAACAAGTCATGACGCCTCTGTAACGTCGACGAAAGCTGGGTTGTTGGAGGGGGGGGGAGGGGAGGGAGGGAAAGCTTGCAGCTCCGTGCTTTGTCGCTTGAACCTTATAAAGCTACGGGGCCTCCTCTTTATGCCGGAAGTGTATGGACACACCTTTGTTGCAGCTGACAATTGCACATAGCACGGCCTGCTTTTCTTCCTTGAACGCTAATTGCATCGCCCCGACCTCGACAGCTTTCCTATTTGTGAATATAAGAATGCCTCAATGGGTGCCTGGGTCTCGAAAGAAGGCCGACGCCTCTCCTAATCATGAGTCGTCGGATCCTGCTGCGTCCAATCGCAATCAGCTGCCGATGCTGCACCTGGCCGACACTGCGCGGAACAATCTCGTCGCCGGGGTGGGTGAATTTGTGGGCACGTTTTTGTTCCTGTTCTTCTCCTTCGCGGGCACGCAGGTCGCCAACACCCCGAAGCCGGCCGACGGCGCACTCCCGAACACGTCCAATCTGCTCTACTCGGCGCTGTGCTTTGGGTTCTCGCTCATGGTCAATGTGTGGGCCTTCTACCGGGTGACAGGAGGGTTGTTCAATCCTGCGGTATGTTCCATCATCCCTACGCACAATCTGGCCCAGGGTCTTGGCGATCTGGTCAACCAGGGAGAGCTCCGTTGACTGAGACCCGTCGTTGCACACAGGTCACTCTGGCACTCTACCTGGTCGGCGGCCTGAAGCCGTTCCGGGCAGCGACGGTCTTTGGAGCCCAGCTTGTGGGCGGCATCGCGTCTGCAGGGGTAGTCAGCGCCTTGTTCCCCGGCTCGCTGAACGTGGCCACCCGATTGGGCGGGGGCGCCTCGATCTCGCAGGGTCTGTTCATCGAGGTCTTCCTGACGGCCCAGTTGGTTTTCGTGATTATCATGCTGGCCGTGGTCAAGCACAAGTCCACCTTCTTGGCCCCGGTGGGCATTGGGCTTGTCTTCTTTGTGACGGAGCTGGTTGGTGAGTTCTTTGCTCCTTGGTCAAACTCAATCAAATCAAACACAAAAGCATTAAATTAACCTTGCTTTTCTTGTCAATTAACCAGGCGACTACTACACCGGCGGCTCCCTCAATCCGGCGCGCTCCCTCGGCCCTGATGTCATCAACCGTAGCTTCCCCGGCTACCACTGGATCTACTGGGTGGGACCCCTGCTGGGCAGCCTGCTGGCGTGCGGGTTTTTTGCCTTCCTCCAGCTGTTCCAGTACCAGCAAGTCAACCCGGGCCAAGACTTCAACGAGTGGGAGGCGAAGCTGGGCCCGGGCTCGTGGGATTCCTCGATGCATCGGCCCTCGGTGCTGTCTGATGTCAGCACGCTCGGGCGCGCGCACTCCCCGACGGGTGAACGGTACCCGGCCCATGAACATAACAATATTCCTCACGGGGCTGAGCAGGTTTAATGGGAAGGTGGTGATCCGGCCGGCCCGGCAGCGCTTGGTTCGGCTCAACCATGGTTCGGAACCCCCCACCTCCCCCCGGCGCGCGCGCACTGTCATGGGCTTATCTTCTGGCCCACTGGCCCACATGGTGCAAGAATGACGGATCGAGTATGTGGGGATTTGTGCGGTAGGATGTAGGGTGGCAGCTGCGTGTTCTGGCTGATTACCCGTAGATATGAGTGTCTGGTTCTGGTCGGTGCCTAGTAACCTGGGCGTTACTTTCTATTTCAGCTAGCCCATTGAGAGGATTTCATCTCAGTAATTTTGCATGACAATGGATTCAAAGCTCCTTGAATCTGTCATTCCAGATGAGCAGCGAGAAATAATTCTTAGTATCAAAGAGTCCTTCACTGTGCATTACCATACCATCTGCTTGAGACCGGCCAGACCGGTGGTTTAGGCACCCATCGCCACATAAAGCTTGTCCCGGTCAGTGTAGTGTACTGTATCTTTATCCTGGCCGGGTCTCGCTCACAGACTGGGATGGGCCCAACCCTGTAGCCCAGTCTGTAACTGCACCGCAATAGTTCCCACTATCCCCTTCGTTTGAGCTGTAATCCTGTTTCCGGTCAATCTGTGGTAAATCTTATCCAACCCCAGGGTTTCTTCGCGGTCATCTCATCTCATCTCATCTCAACCCCCGCATCTGATTTTTTTTTTCTGATAGATGCAGGTAGTTACCTTCCTCTTCATCATGCATCGTCTCGCTGCCGGAACCATCTCTTCTGGATGGGCCAGAGCAAGCGCCAAGCGGCATGAAGCTTGACTTTTGGCTGAGGTGAATCAGGATATTTTTCTCCATAAGTGGGTTTTTATTAGAGTAGAGCGTATTATCCCCAAGGCTAGGGATTGATAGACTCTTGTTCATCGGGATTTGAAATTTGGGGATGGGGGGTTATGTTGGATAGTGACCGTTTTTGGGGATGGGGGTAGGTTATCGGTTATTGCGAAGGGAGGAAGATAGTTTGGTGCGGTGTGGTGTTGTGATGTGTTGTGAGTGATGTGCTGTGCTATGGCTTTATCTTTATTAGAAGTGATTATGGGCTTCAGGTGGTGTCGCGCTCTGTGCTGGTGGATCTTGGTATGGAATGTGGATGCTTGGGTGTAGGTGGGGAGGTCTGGATGGATAATTGGGTTGGGGGAGGGGGGGGCCCAGGGCGCTTGCTGTGTGGGTTGTTGGGGTGTGAGAGGTGAGGTTCGCGAGATGGGGACCCCAATTTGGGCTAGGGTTAAGGGGTTTCTGTTGACAGTATGGGAATGGTGAGGATTGGGTTTGATGGTCTGGGGGTATATAGATTTGGAATGTTTGCGAAGAGACCCTTTATTTGTGGGCGTAAGGTCTGGGGTTGGTGTTATAGGTTGGGGGTTGAGAGCATGGGGATCAGGGAGAGTCGAGGTAGGACGAAATGGTAGTAAGGAAAAACTGTATAGGACTGCGGTCTCTGCTTTCCTGGTCTCTGATAAAATGATACGGTGCTGGGGTGTTGAAGCTGGAGGTGATGGTTGTCACGTAGGATAAGAAGACTGACGATGCCTCGCCTTATCGTCGCTCTTGGGAGTACAGTACTTCGCAAGAAACCTACGGTCCAGCTGAATTCAGCATATAGCTCATCGGTGCTAACAGCACCCTTCATCCATACACCCCCTAATGCACCCATTCAACCACCCTTAGCCCAACCCCCAACCAGACAATATCACACCACCATTCAGCGACTATATATCATCCCTCCCATCCCTCAGCTCTGGGCACACCATGCACCTTTTTCCTCTTGGATCCTTCCAGACATTAATCCACCGTTGTGGCGTTTTACGCCAATCAACCCTATCTCTTTCAAAAAGCTGTTATCTCTCGCCAATCATCCCGTCTTGATACCCTGCCACGCAAGATCCTTATCACCGCATGGCCCTGCATCAATTTATCCAATGCACTAAACCCCAGAAGGCGCACTGATCCGGGGTCACCATCTAGGATCCAATCGATTCAACCATAGCCCGATAGCTCGTGGATCCGCATACCTTATCAGTTCGGTATCCAGGCGATCCCTGGGCTTGGCATTGTGATATCATCTGGCCCATGGACGATTACAGTCATATCAATCACGCCGCACTGGTTATGATGGGGAACACTGCGCTGCGCCAAGGGGCTTGGGAGGGGGTTATTTGATAGGGCTGGGTGCTCGCGGGAGCCCATTCTGCTGCTTTCGGGGGGATATTGATAAGGATCCTGCTTGGCATGGATTCCCACGATCGGAATGGAGCAACTGTGGAGACTCGCGATTGATTGCAGTATGGACAGGTCTGAGTCAGGCCAAGAAGATGTAAGGTTCGGATATTACATGTAGGTGCTTGGAGCGAGGGGCGGGGGGTGGATCTATATATACTGTGGGGGGTGTCTTTCCCTTGCCAGCGAAACGAGAATCGAACCGCACGGGTGGGTTATACTCCCCTGTTCACAATATTGGTATAATCTGTCCGACATGGCTGCGGTAAGTGGGAGGTCCTAGGAATGTTTTGTTGATACTCGATGTCAAAACTGATCATCTTTTTCCCGAACAGCCGGTCTATAATGCCTCAATGCCCGAGGGCGGCGACCCGCTCACCGTGGATGTCAACGCCCAGTTTGTGGGTTACGAGTATAATTATGTCTACATCGTCGCGTGCACCTTTATCGTGTTCATGATTCTGCCGGGGATCGGCTTGTTGTATAGTGGTTTGACGCGGAGGAAGTCTGCGATGGCCTTGCTGTTCCAGGCTTTCATGGTTCTTGCGGTGTGAGTTCGCTCCCGCTGCAGGTGCTATGTAATATTTCGTTACCCCCTGTGCTGATTCTCATGCAGCTCAACATTTCAATGGCTATTTTGGGGGTACTCGTTGGCCTACTCGAGAGATGGAGGCCCATTCATTGGCACGCTGAAGAATTTCGGCTTGATGGAGGTCCTTGTAGCCCCCTCGCCTGGCTCGGCCGTCCTGCCAGAAGTGGTGTTTTGCCTGTTCCAACTGCTCTTTTGCGCATGCACAGTAAGACTCTCGTCCCAGTCCGCCTCCGCATAGTCAGTGCTAAGAGCCACAGGTGATGATCGTTGTTGGTGGCACTTTTGAGAGAGGCGCTATCCTCCCTTCGCTCATCTTCAGCTTCTGGTGGGCTACGGTCGTCTACTGCCCGTTGGCTCGCTGGACCTGGAGCAGCAACGGATGGCTGTACAACCTTCCCGCCATTGACTTTGCGGGTGGCGGTCCGGTGCATATCGCTTCCGGTGTCTCGGCCTTAGCCTATGCTTTAGTTCTCGGCAAAAGGAGGGATTACGGAGCACCTTCTTTCCGCAAACCTCACAACACTACACTCATTTTTCTGGGAACCGTCTTGATTTGGACTGGCTGGCTTGGTTTCAATGTATGTGTCGCGCATGGTCTAGTGTTGTGCATATGGTCTAATATTCGAGGAACGCAGGGCGGTTCAAGTCTCAATGCGAGCATGCGTGCCATGGTGGCCGTCTTCAACACCAACACGGCCGGATGCACAGGTATCCTCGGCTGGGTATTGGTGGATATGATCAAGCACCGCGGAAAGTTCTCTATAGTTGGTGCTTGTGAAGGTGCGATCGCCGGGTTGGTCGGAATCACCCCAGCTGCCGGCTGCGTGTCGTTCTGGCTCGCTGCGTGCATTGGATTCATCACCGCGGTTGTCTGTTCCCTTCTCCAGAACGTGAACGAGTGGATCGGCGTCGACGAAGGCTTGGATGTTTTCAAACTCCACGGCATTGGTGGAATGGTGGGTGCATTTCTGACAGGGTTGTTCGCCAGCCAGAAGATTTCGGCCTTGGATGGCAGCAGTCTGGCACCCGGAGCGATCGATGGAAACGGAGTGCAAGTTGGAAAACAAATCGCGGAGATCTGCGCCATCTCCAGCTATTCGTTCGTGGTGACCTGCGCTCTGCTGCTGATTCTCAAGTACATCCCGGGCATGAACCTTCGGGTCAGTGAGGAAGCCGAGTTGTTAGGGTTGGATCAGACCGAGTTCTTCGACGAGCAAATCGGGGACTGGTCGATCACTGAAGGAAGTACTAGTCCTACCTTGATCGGAGTGTCGCAGAATTCATCCGGCTCCATCACGAAGGAGGAGTGCCAGGTGAAGGGGAGCGGGGTATAGACCTGCTGCAGTGTGCAGTGTGTATTGTTTATTTTTGTGTTTGAGTGCAAGAACTTGATTTTGGAGCGTTTGCCGATCTCTATGCCTGTAACTGCGGAAAATCGATAGATTCAGCAGCAGCAATACTGTGGTAGATTATTTAGACGCGCGGCCTCCGATCGTCCACCGTATCGCGTTATTGCATGGGTTGCACAACGAGATTCATGGTTGCAAGGTATCATTGGGTGTTGCTGTTCTGACAACGTTGATTGTACTGTGTAAGCCGGGCGTGAGATGTCAAGCTCGGGCCGGATAAGCGGAATGATGCCATATCACCACCGTCGAGCGACAACAGCCTGGCAGGGTACGGTGGAGCTCCAGAGCTAAATCCGGACATATCGTCATCGTCACCAGATAGCCATGAATGGTCGGATACATCCGACGTCCCTTGGGTGGTCTCCATTAAAAGAGATGGCTGGTTGGTGTCAGGCGTCCAACCGAAGTGAAGGATGGAGTTGATACGGGAGAGGATCTCAGACTCTCAGACTCTCTCCGTGGAAAGAGGGGCAGCCCTGGAGGACAGGTGTGGAGGGCAGTAAATGGAAGTGGGTGGGCAAGTAACCAATCACCGGTCCAGGCGGTGGAACAAGGCGTGCAGAGCTTACGTCAACCCCGGCCGGGGTATTTTCACAATCGATTGGATTCATTTGATTCACATTTCACTGCATTCTTGGACCAGGCAGGCTGGCCGAGACCCTTCCACTTAATCTCCCGAAGATACCACTTAGTAGATTGCAATTATCTACAAAAGTAGGTGAGGATGAAAAATGAAGAAGACATCTACTGGTAAAGATCATCGATCAGAGTCAATCTCATCATCAATCTATAATTAACAAATAATCTCATCAAACGGTGCTCAATACGAACTCCCTTCAGGTTAAGGTTGGAAGGGAAACGTGGTGCAGGCTATTATCTGCCTTTGTATACGCAAGTCTGGCCGCTTCCCGACCATTCCCGGATAGGCTTGGAGGCTTCCTCCTGCATCCGTTCCCGTCTTATCGAACCTCATCCACTAAACTCTCTCTGTCAAGAAAAGTCACTTTTCCTTTTTGCCTTTTACCTTTTTGGTCCTTTTCCCTTCGTCTCCCTCTCCAAACTAAATCATCACCCTTTCCGACTCCTCCTCCTCCTGCCATTCTTCACCTCCCCACTCCTCATTTCTCCCTTTACACTCCTCTCGTTCCGTCCATTTCCACCTCCAACTCTTACTTCCGGATTGCATCTCTGGTTCTACTCTACCTTTGACTTTCTACTCCATCTTGCTTCCTCGTAGCAAGAGCCATTCGTTTGTCACCGTTCCTCCCGTCGACTGTCGCATCTCCCTTATCTGCGACCGGCTCCCCGCCCGCCTTCCGTACCTTTTGCGATCACAACATCCATACTTTGCTTTGCACCCCTTCGACTGCTGACAACTATCGCTATTCTCCCGCTTGTCGCTGGCTTCGAGGTGGTCATGCGGCTTAGACTGTTCACTCATCTACAATACTAATCTTAATACCACCGTTGCGATCCCTATGGGCAAATGTAAGTTGCCGGTCGCATGTCCCCGCCGGAAGTGGGTTTTTCAGGGTGCTAATGCAGGGTCTCATAGGGCGCTATGGAGTCGTCCTGGACGCAGGCTCGTCTGTATGTTGGACCTCGGTGGGCTCGATAAAGATTACGTTCGCTAATGCCTCGACAGGGGACTCGAGTTCATGTCTATCGATGGTTAGACAACGCCATCGCTCGCAAAGAGGCTGATGGAGATAAGCTCAAGTCTCTCCCGGAGATCAAAACAAAATCCCACTGGACCAAGAAAATTCATCCAGGTACGGCTTCCAGAATGTCATGGATGCTTGCAATTTGAGCTCCAGATTAACACTCATCGCTCATAGGAGTATCTTCTTTCGCCAACAAACCAGAAGATGTGGGACACGAACATCTTGCGGAACTTCTCGAACATGCCCGTGAAATTGTACCCGATGATGCCATCAAAGACACCCCGATCTTTCTCCTTGCCACTGCCGGTATGCGTCTGCTAGGCGATGTCGAACGGAAAGTCCTGCTGGAGCAGATTTGCTCATACGTCGGCGCGAACTCGGATTTCTTGCTTCCCGACTGCGACATTCATATCCAGGTTATCCCCGGAGTTACGGAGGGGTTGTACGGTTGGATTGCCACGAACTATCTCCTCGGAAGCTTCGATTCGCCAGGGCCCCATGATCACGGCAAGGGTCACCACACGTATGGGTTTTTGGACATGGGTGGCGCATCGGCACAGATCGCATTCGCGCCCAACGCGACCGAGAGCGAAAAGCACGCGAACGACCTGACGCTACTGCGGCTGCGCAACATTGACGGATCGGACCAGGAACACAGGGTTTTCGTCACTTCATGGCTGGAATTTGGGGTGCATGAGGCTCGGAGGCGCTTCGTCGAGTCTCTGCAGGCGGCCAGTGCTGTTGGAGGAGTCACGGAGCTCCCGGATCCCTGTCTACCTGCAGGATTGCGTACGACTATAGATGGAAAGCCACTTCTCCCGAAAGACGACAGTATGCATCTACTGGGGACTGGAAAGTTTGACGAGTGCTTGCGTCAAACATATCCTTTACTGGACAAAGATGCGCCTTGTCCGGACCAGCCATGTCTCCTCCGTGGTGTGCATGTACCAGCCATTGACTTCGATGTAAACCACTTTGTCGGAATCAGCGAGTACTGGCATACGACTCACGAGATCTTTGAGATGGGCCACAAGGACAAAGCCTACGACTTTCACACCTACCAGGATCGCGTGCAGTCTTTCTGCTCTCACGATTGGGAGAGCATTGAGGCTGGACTTGAGAGCCATCAATGGGGCAAGAAGGTCGATCGGGAATCAGCCTCCGAGGTTTGCTTCAAGGCATCATGGATCATCAATGTATTGCATGACGGCATTGGGATCCCTCGGGTAGGATTGGACGAAATGACAAGCTCGAGCCACAACGGGACCAAGGAGGTGTTGTCCCATGGTCAAAGCAAAGGCTTTCTGGACTCTTTTCAGGCTGCCGACAAGATCCAAGACACGGAAGTGAGCTGGACTCTCGGAAAGATGGTTCTGTATGCATCCTCGCAGATCCCTATCGAAGCTCAAGACGCACTCCCGGTAGGCTTCGGCAGCAATGTTGCCGGGGTCCCCAGCGACTTTCAATATCCGAGTGCCGAGCTGCTGCCCGATCCTGAAGGCGCACACAACGGATCATGGCGCGACGCCATGCTCGACAGCAGCCCATCCCGCAGAGTGCCTGGTCTCATTCTCTTCCTGATTATAATAGTCGTGGCTGCATTTTTCCTCTGCGGGCGCAGCCGCCGACTCAAGATGTATCACAAGATCCAAAATGTCTTCGGTGGCGGTGGCCCTTCTCACCCCAGCTACCCCAAGAAACGGAGAATCTTTGGCGGCAAGCTGCCTTTCTTCGGCCCGAGAAGTCCCACATATGAACGCGTTCTTGAGGATGGTGCTACTGCCTATGATCTCGGTGAGACGGCGTCCAGCCGCAGCTCCATCGGTGGGGGACGTCCATCGGAAGCGGACTCCACGAAATTCCTGGCACCGAAGCGGGCATCGAGCTGGGGAAGCGGTAGCAATACACCCACGTTCAAGTATGCGCTGGACAATTCATCTTCAGGGACTATTGGACTCGGTATCACTCCGAGTCCGGGTGTCTCGGCGATGGATCGACATGGTCTCGTGGTGAGGACGGAGAGTAGAGATCACCTGGCGCCGGTGGCACTGGGCCCGACGACGAATGGTCGCCGGTCCAGAGCTGGCAGTCCCTCTCGATCCCACCCCAACAAATCGCCAGTCATGACCCCTCTGACAGATGAATGATCCTTCTGTATGATTATGTTTATGTCGCCGTGTTGCATTTCCCGGAGTTGGTGTTCCGCGTTGTCAGGCCAGAACTTGGATTGGAGTTGGCCGTGTAATTTCCGGAGTTGCTTCTTGCGAAGATATTGTCGGAGCACGTGCTCCTGAGTACATATTTGCTCTGTTCGAACCATTTGTCAAAGTATTAGACATAGCCAATTTAGTCAATGCCAGGTGCAAACATTTACTTTCATGAAACCGTTCGAATCTGGGTATGGATACTGTAGAGAAGAATGTCACGTGCGAGAGGCGCGAAAGCTGAGTCAGCTGTTCACCGCCCCGGCAAAATCTCAGTGATTGTGAAGCCCGGACAGGGCCAGTCGCAGCGGAGCTCCCGACTCTCATCCTGCCTGTCACCACCCACCGAAAAGCTTGCGATTTGCTGTCGGGTTCAATCCGCTTTCTTTCGAATTCTCTTATTTATTGCTTTGTGTTTTCACGCGCATGATACCCTAGTTCAAACCCGAGACCACACATCCACCGCCAACATGCGATTGACCGTCGAACTGATCCAAAATTCCCTCTCGTACATCAACCCGCTCAAGGACCGCGAGTTAGATCTCCGAGGTGCGTTTTTCTCACGAAGCCCCAAATCAACCACCCCCCACCCCCCCGGGGAAATCTGAAAAGTCAGATACTACATCTTGTCTAAAGGAGCTGGATTGATATCGAATTGTTGGCGCGATTGGTGGTATGTAGGGCACAAGATCCCCGCGATTGAGAACTTGGGTATTGCCAAGGTGAGTTTGCCTTCCTCCCCTCAGAAGCAAACTGTCCGCGTCAGACAGTGCGTGCAAAAAGCGAAGACCTAGCTAACCGGGGACTTCTCGGGTGTAGGAACAAGATGCAATCGACCTGACGGACAACGACATCACCACGCTGGGCAACTTCCCCTTCTTCCCGCGGCTGCACACCCTCCTCCTGGCGCGGAACCGCATCAAGCAGATCCAATCGACGCTGGCGGCGTCGGTGCCGAACCTGACGGCCGTGAACCTGACGGCGAACGCGGTGGCGGAGCTGGCGGATCTGGATCCGTTGCGCGGGTTGACCGGGTTGACGCATTTGGTGGTGTTGGAGAATCCGGTGACGAGGAAGGAGGTTAGTTTCCCTTAGGTTGTGGCTCAGGGGATGGCGGTGTATGGCGGGGGGCCTGTCTTTCGTTTACGGTGTTGCTAATCGTCTGGCCGCGCACAGCACTACCGCCACTACCTCATCTGGCGCATCCCCAGCCTGCGGTTCCTGGACTACCAGAAGGTGAAGGACGCGGAGCGCGAGAAGGCGACGGAGCTGTTCGGCACGGCCGAGGAGCCCTCGGCGCTGGCCTCGAAGATCATGGGCGTCAAGTCGCGGACCTTCGACGTGCCGGCCACGGCGCAGCAGATCGGGGCCGCCGCCGCCGCCGGCGGGGACCGTGCGGTGCGGGTGAAGTTGACGGACCGGGAGCGCAAGCGCGTCGAGAAGCTGATCCGCGAGGCCAAGAGTCTGCAGGAGATCACGCGGTTGGAGCGCGAGCTGAATGAGGGACGGATACCGGGCGGTGGGGTGGATTATGCGGATAGTGGGGATGAGATGGAGACTTAGTCCGCTCGTCTCGAGAGGCTTTTGTTGTTATTTGTGGGTTTATTGTATACGGATATTGTTTCAATGGAGTGTGGTTTGGTTTGGTTGGTTTGTTTTGCGGTCTTGTGTAAAGGTGGTTGATTTTGATGGATATCTTGTGGTTAGGAGGTTGGGGACTGGGTAGGGTTGGCTATCATACAGCTGAAGCTTGAGTACTCGAAAGATCAACCGTTTAGCCAAGACTTTGCTACATGGATGTGTGCTGAGTACAGTCCCATTGTCAGGCCAGCACAATCACAATCAGATAAGATATCTTCACGTGAAGATAGGCCCCGACAACATCCGTCCTATAGTCAAAACGTCATCAGCTCCCATATTTCCCTGATTCCCGCTGCATTTATTCCTATTAATCCCACCGACTTACTCCTACAATCCCCCCTTACTTAACACCCTTACAATTATTCCGAACCCAACAGCCCAGTAACGGTGAAAATCAATCTGGCATCACCAAACCACCGCCTCAAACACCTCACCCGCCTCCTCCAAGTCCAAGTCCAACTCCAACCCCACCGACCCCTCACCACCAGCGCCCAAATGTCCCAAGCAAAAGCAAAAGCACCAGCACCCTGGTCTCCTCTCCTCAAATCCCACCTAACCTCCAGCAAAAGCAAATCCTTCACCCTTTCCACCGTCACCCACCACCCAACCACCGGCCTCCCCGTCCCGCGCTCGCGCACCTGCGAGCTGCGCGGCTTCTTCCCGGATGTGCTGAGCCTACACCCCAGCGCCGCCTCGGCGCTCGACGCCCAAGGCATCGGCCGGATTCCTTCCGGGCTGGAGAGCGATATGCCCGTGTTCACGACGGATATACGGATGGCGAAGGTGGGCGAGTTGGGGGTTAGTGGCGGGCAGGTGGAGGGGGTGCTTTGGTTGGAGGGGGTGCAGGTGCAGTGGCGGGTGAAGGGGGGGACGTTTGTTTTTGGGGGGGAGGGTAAGGAAGAGGAGCAAAAGGGGAGGGAGGTGGTTTGGCAAGGGGTTCGAGGGGACGATGAGGGGTTTGCTGAGGGGGACTGGGAAAGGATGGTGACGACTTATTTTGCGAGTCATTCGCCGGTTATGCGAGGTTTGTTTTCTCTTGCTTCCGGAGGAGGGGAGGGGGGGGGGGGGGAGATTGGTTTGAAGGGTTGGGCTAATGGCTTACTGGTGAATTTACAGGCACGTTTAGGAACCCGCCGCCGGGACAGCCGCGGTCGAAGCACCGGGAGACTTCGGAGCTGAAGATAGGGCAGAAGGTTGAGGACTTGAGGGACCCTGTTGCGAGACGGAATTTCCGCGTCGTGGTTATTCGGCCCGAAGAGGTGGAGATGTTGGATCTCTCCAAGGCGCCGGATGCTGTTCGTAAGAGGTGGACGGTTGCGAGGGATGGGGATACTGAGAAGTGGGAGGAGGTTGAGCTGTGGCCTTGATATCCTGGTTACTATTTCGGTTGGCACAAAGACAGTGTCTTCTGGGAAGTGCTTCAGTTCTTTGTGTCGACAACGGATTCAAAAGGATTGGGTAAAGGTTCAATGCCTCTTTCAAGACTCTATTGCTGGAACCATTGTCTTTGGTCAAACAAAGGCCTGTCTTGTGCCCCGATATAGCTTGGTCGGATTTAGACTGCTATGCCTTCAGGTTGTTCTGGATATAGATCACTTTCGTCTCAGCTCCTTGTATTCGGATCCATTCAATGACCTATCATTGTAGTTTCCCTCATGCTGAAGGCTCGAGTAGCTCTATCATTGGGATATATAGACTGTCGGTTGGGACTCGCACCGGATATTGACAGCAATCCCACAGCCAGCTAGCTACTATCAGGCCACTATTCTAATCACTATAGCTCTACATCCCAACTCCACAGTAGCTTATTCCTATCTTCGCAACAATTCGTTGAGCCATGGCTCGAGTCATAAATACAGGACCCGGAGACACCGGTGCCAAGGTTGCTGGAACGGCCCAAAAGAGGCAGACGAGATCTACCACCGCTGAAACTGCACAGGCAACCGCTGGGCCATCGACTGGGAAGGTGCCCACCACTGGAAAGCAGGCTGCTCAACCTGCTAGTTCAGTGGCCGGACCATCGACCGCAAAGGTAGCTGTACCGACAGCTGCGAAGAACAATGGAAAGGTTTGTTGCGCGTTGTCTGAGAAAGAAGCTGTCTTTCGCCATGCCTGTACTAACTGTTGCAATATCAGCCCAAGCGTGGTAGACCTAGAACAGCATGTTCACCATGTCGCCGCGCCAAAAAGCCATGTCCGCATATGAGAAAGGAGGAGGAGGAGGAAGAGGAAGAGGATGATGATGATGATCAGAAGAAGCTTTCTGAAAAGGCGAAGGGCAAACAAAAGATGAAGCGTGCCGATGATGATGATGGCGATGACGGCGACGGTAATCAGAAGCAGCTTTCTGAAAAGGCGAAGGGCAAACAAAAGAGAAAGCGTGCCGATGACGATGACGATGACGATGACAATGCTCCAGGCCCAATACAAGTTAAAAAACGGGGTCGACCTGCTAAGAATCAAGCAGCTATTGCTGAACCTTCAACCGTCCCTCGAACTGTTGCCGGTCCTTCAGGGAGTGCTCCTGCGCCTGCAGCACCTGCAAACTTATCCAACCCACTGACGGCTGCCGGGCATATCGTAACACACCAGTACATGAGTCAGCAACTGGGCCAGCGACTCGACGAGGCTGAAAAGAGGTGGACAGAAGCCATGGATGCCATGATGAAGGCCAAGCAGGCTTTGGATGCCTGGAAAGACTTCTACTTGAAGCACAAGGGATCGCCCAGTTAGCCAATCTCGGGCGCCACCAGCTCAGCAGCTGAGCTCAGTTAGCATGTATAGAGCATTTTTTTGCGGTGCAATAGAGTTCGTTCATTTTGTTTTACTTGGTGTCTTAGGTGAGCTCGACCATTAGATTTCAGAGACGAATTTGTGGCTGATTGAGGTCTATGATTCGAATAATATTCGGCGATGCCGAAATTACTCGGCATAAGACTGGTGGCTTGCACATGACGAAGCTGTGTTCCGGAGAACAATCAATCACTGCACAGCCAAAAGCGTCCAGCAAAGGTTGTGTGATCCGTGAAAAGTTGGCAAGGTATCGTTTGGACCGCATGCTCTCTTGCGGGACATTTTCCGAAGTACCATGTCGTGCGTTATGACCGGTGGGCGGATCGATAAGCATTAGCGTCTCGTGCTCGATACCGTACCAGTATGTTCACCAACCAAGGCATCACCGAAGGACATGTCATCGCGGCCAGGGGTGTTACCTCCCTTCCATCTTCGAAGGATCACACAACATAACAACCACCGGGCCAACCAGCTACCGGTTTCCTGACTTGGGGCGATCGGCAGTTCCATCCAGTCAAACATGATAGACTGCAAGACATGATAACTCGACAGCTACGTGGGTTTTGATCGTCGGCTTGAAACTTGTCCCTAATAAGGGGAGGAGCTGGGAGGGTATAATGTTCGGATATAAGCAGCACGGTGAGGATGCTAGCGCATCCCCGCCGTCATCCGTCGCAAGGTGCATATACACCGTTACGTGTCATGACTCGCTTGGGTAAAGTCGCCGTTACCATAATCAAACAAAGCGACCATTGCGTTCGGATCTCCCCTGCTGGTTGCATCGTTCATGGATTCCTTGCTTGTTCGACAGTCATCGGCACCAGGCAGAAGGAGGAGCGGAACGGTTGGACAAGGTGCATGCTGGTTTTCAAACTCGCTTGTGGTCGCCGAGGCACGTGCTGCCACCTCAAGGCGTCTTGTTGCTACTCAGTACAATCGAGTCGTGAGACTTCCCCTGTTTGAGATTAATGACCGGTCAGGCTTCGAGAAATCCTCAAACATATGGAGGGTCTCATTTTTCTAGAAGGTACTTCCTTTTCGACAAGTACTGCGGCTGAAGCTGCGAGTCAGCGACTTTAGTGGAGGGGAGTCAACGGCCCCCATTAATGAATCAGTAACTAAACTCGTAGTTCTCGTGCATCCAAGCAAGCAGTGGAAGGAACCGTAGCGGTACTTCGTTAGCGGCTGTTCACCGCTTGTCCGTCTCTTGCAGGGGACATGGATGTGATTCCATCTCGGAGTCGTTTGTTCTTGGAAGGAAAGCGACAGGAAAAGTCGCAGTAGTAATACTCACTAATAGTAGTAGTAATTCCCAGGCATCACATGGTGATTGAGAAAGGGAAGGAAGCTTCCGTATTGTCCGAGTGGCCGGAAGGGAGGAAATGCAGAGTGGTACTGGATGTACTGACTGGTACGGGTAAGATTACGGCCAAGTTCACAGACCCACGCCTCGGGCTTCACTTTTCGGGGACGTCACTTTTAGCTTCCTCTGTAACTTCTTCCCGCCAAACCTACCAGTCTTCATTCTTACTCTCTTACCCTTTGGCTGTTGCTCTCTCTCTCTCTCTCTCTCTTCCCTGAGTCCTTTTCTCCAGCATTTCCCCCCTCTTCTCTCCCCTTTCCTCCCTCCTTTCCCCTCCCCTCATTTAGCTGCTCTCACTCTTTCCTCCACTCAACTTGCTGGAAATTCATTTTTATTTTCTTTTTTTTTGATATTATTGTTTGCCTAATCTAAATCTCCCCGTCCGCTAATTTAGTGCCACACACCTTCGCGTGCACTAGTCCCTGACCCATGGAGCCATCATTGTAAGGGTCTTATTAGAGTAGCTCGCCCAGGCTCAATTTCATCATCACCATACTCAATCTTCTCTCCTTTATCGGCCATTCCTAACGATCTTACGACAAGACGACCTACCGTTGTACCGCCCCCTTTGATCCTCCTCCTGGCCGGTCAGCAGGGTAGCTTCTATATCCCGGGGACTATCGCGCGGTCCCACAACCTTCCAGATCGACCTCGGACTCGGAAGTACATATCCGAGGGCCGAAGCACTTTTCACCCCTTTCCCAAATCAAAACCCCAACCCACACCATGACCATCGGCGAACAGATGGACGCTCTGGGAGCATTTTCCTATCTGTCGGACAATGCACCGACTTGGATAGGTCAACTGTCTGATCTAGCTAACCACACTGCCGCCAAACATGCCGAATACGCCAATGCCTACAAACGACACGCCGCCCAGAGAACCCGCCGCCGCAGAAACAGCTCTGTCTGCTCCATTCGCACGGATGACTTGAATTCGACGATTGCCAACACCGAGAGCCCGTCTCTCTCATCTGCCCCTGAAGCTCGAGAAGGAACTGCAATCACCACTCCGAATACCTCTCAAAATCAGCCGAACTCGAATCCCCGAAAACGCGGAGCGGACGAGGCACCCTCGGTGGACTCGAGTGATGGGGAAATCTTTGTCAGTACACGACACAACCTTATCATTGAGTATGATGGACACACACAGAAGACCTTAGAGGAAATGGTCCGCAATATTGGGACTGCCCGCAACAACATTCGCAAAGGAAAGATGTCACAGCTGCGCACATCCGGGTATCGCAGTGCCATGATGAGTCGCGGTTCAAGGATGTCGCCAATCACTGCTTCGCTTGCAAGCCCTACCTCAACGGAGGATGAACTTCTGACTAGCATCCGTAACGCTCGGAGACAGGGTCCCCCGGCGACCCGAGCCCCGGCCGCGTCGCAGGCATCCCCCTTTGATGCCGCCGAGAAACAGCTGGAGGTTGTCCATGGACTGTGTGAAACCGCCGCCTACCATTTTCTCCGGGCGGGCGACTGTTCAACAGAATTAGTTACGGTGAAGCAGAAGCTTCAGAGTTTGCTCGACCTGGCCACCAAAGAAGTACACCGACTCAAGGCAGACCAACCACACGTGGCTGTGGTGCAGGAGGAGAAGAAAGCACCAACGCCTGAACCGTTACCTGCCCCAACACAAACAACTAGGGACGGTGACCATTCCGTAACGAAGATGGCTACCATTGAGGTAGATGACGGATCTGACTCGGTCGAATCCATTGACTTGACGGTCTTTCGATCCGACCGGATCCGCCGATAGAAAAACGAAGGTCCAGAATTGAAACACAGCATTTGGCGGGGACACTCATTTTACAGCGTGCACCGGGGGGGAAAACAAGCATTCGTTCTAATCTTGCACTGGCGATGATACCACTGAACCACACATACCAGCGTTTCCTTTTCTCGAATTTCTTGCGACTGATGCACTTAACCCAGCGTTCTTCCATATATGCAAGCGAGCGTGGCTGTCATCTAATCAATCAATAGCGTGGTCTGGTCTTAGCATACTGGAGTTTAGCCTTTCCTCTCCTTAGCCTTTACATTGTCATAGATTACAAAATTGCTTTCATCAATTAAATTACCATCAACCATAATGTACCTCACATATGTAACCATCAACCATCATCTATAAGTAGTGTAAGCGATCACTACTAGGTGAGTAGTGCACCCGCTCCCCAATCCCCATCCCAAACCCGACCGACTAGTCTAGTCCAACCGTAGCACTGAAAAACCAAAACCCATCAGAACAATACCGGGCTCCATCCACCCGCATGATCGGGCTCCACTCGTCCACGGCAGATTCGACAAATTACATCATTGGCTAATTTCCATCTGCCGTCTGCCAGCAATTAAAAAAAAAGTGACAGGGATCTTGATGCATCCATCGATGGGAGGAGGGAGGGGGAGGGGGGCGCGCAAGGGAAGCCACTCCCGGCTGACGGCTGACGGCTGACGGCTCGGGGCAATCAAACCTTCCTACTACCAAACCGTCCTAATCTACCTACGGGGTACATAAGAATGTTTGGTATTGACTAAGGACTGAAGAAAGCAAGCTTCTTGACTCGTGTCCCGATGGACCAATGATGGGGTCGTCGGGGGTGGGAATCGGGGGGGCCATCGGGGAGGGAGATGGGTCGGTACTTTTGAGGAAGTAGTTCTTTGGATCTGTATGGGTATGTGTATGGGTGTGTATGTACTGTGCTCAGTAAGTGAGGTGTTGCGCGGTGGGATATGCGCTGTAGAAGTGGCGAGCTTGGAGGTGTAACCTTGGTAACTTGGGGGTTCTTTGTTCTGGATGGGAACGTTTCGGGGTGTAATTGGCTGTGGTGACAGCGAGCTCGGAAGGGAGAAGTTTTGACTCTGGGAGTGAGTGTGGGCGGTACTTCCTTAGGGCGATCGGGGTAGTGGGAAATGTGGTTGCAGAACTGAATTTAAAGGTGGGGTTGACAGGTCAACCTGGTAAGTTAGGGGGGGGACTAGACCCAGAGGGGGATAGGTTCGTGGCCGAGACAGCGGCCGCTGCCGGGCTGGTTGGATGTGCTCCAGGCTTGGGGGCTGGTGAGTATCTTACTGTGGGTTAGCCAAGTTGAGGATTATTGCCTGAAGCTTTATTCTGGGCTACAATGGCAGCAGAGCGTTATTTGATGAGCTGAAGTTAGGACCTAGGATCCATTGTCTCGCTTTGAGCCGTTGCATATCGGTTTAGTTGCTTGCTATTTGATTCGCTCCACCATGACCTGGTTCGTGATATTATGGGCCCTGCTGCTGAGCATATTATGTGTCGCATCATCCAAGCCTGCTACCGAGGGCTAGAATTCACACCAATCTCGAATTGAAAGTCGAATGCTCAGTTCAGTCGCTACCTCAGATACCTTCAAGACTCTCGTGCTGGGACAGCGAGGTTTAGCGATGATTTCTTTCACAGCATCAACGGGACTCTTGAAATGAGACATAGTAAGCTATTGATCCAGTACAGCAATAAGCTTTATCATCTTGCAGTCATCGAATAACATGAACGGCTGATCTTATCTGATCTGATATTTGATCCGACTTTCTGTCTTACCTACTCAGTACTC